AACAAACTTTATACCCCTTTAAAAGTCACAAATATCTGGCTTTCATTCATGGGCAATGGGATATCCACAGGGGGTTGCATTAGTAGTCTTCAGCTATAATAGATAGATAATCTGTTTAACTTTATTAAACCTGGGAGGTGATAATGTAAATTTTAATTATGTATATTTTCTCGCCTTTTAAAGACAGTTTTATTAGTCTGGGTTTCAGACTCATTGCAAGGAGGAAGAACTATTCCTACTAAATCTCCCATTTTTTTTTTTTTAATCCACTACTTTAACACAATCCCATCGACTTCCCAAAAAAAAATTCTTTATTTAAAACCAAACTAGCCCACAAATTAAAAAAAAAAAAAAAAAAAAAAAAAAAAAGGCCTCGAAGATTTTGTAAGCCATTAAGCAAACAACCTTCATCCATTCAACCACGCATTGAATCAAATACAGAGTGTGTAATCCTGTCATCATTTCTTTTATGTGATGTGGCTTTTTAAAATCATTACCTGCTAGCACTGCAGCTAACACTATGAATCAATGAACTTGGGCCACTGTGCTGCACATTATGGCCCAAAGTGTCGGTTTTTACGTGACAATAAAAAAAAAACCCTGCAAACTAAACCGCTGAAGAGGAACGACCTCATTTCGAGATAAACTTTACAAAACCAGCTTGTCCTTTTTCTGCACCAGGAGTTAGCTCAGGGGTTAGCTTCCCCCCAAAAAAAACAGCTAGCTAACGCTGGCTCAATGAATAAATAAAATAAAAAATAATTTTCCAAGATTCCCACACTAACCTCGCTGGTGATGGAGCTGCTCGCTTCAACGGGAGAACGGGGAAGAGGGGTAAACACACACACACACACACACGAAAAAAAAAAAAAAAAAAAAAAGCTTTAAATTATAGATGACTTCTGTGCAAAGCTGCCTGTTTATCCAGCTATCTGGCTAACTAGCTTTCTCTTTTCTCTTCTTCCTCTTCTTCTTCTTCTTCCAGTGCTCTCCCCCTCACTCCGCTGGAGAATCCGTGCTCTGCTGTGAAGTCGTGGCACTTCGAGCTGGCTAGACGTGCTGGCCCCGTGCCCCAGATAGCTGCCATAAACCCCAGGCGGCCTCTGATTGGCTGGAACGTGAAGGGAGCATGCCGGGAGTTGTAGTCGCAGCGCCGGAGAACACATGAAAAGGCTCATTTAGTAGGTCAGTCAAACAGAAGTGGCTTGTTTGAAACGGAATGTGTCACAAGTGCATTTACTGGAGTACATTTTTAAAAGGAGGCTATTTCTGTGAGACAAATGCACTTAATACTCTGTTACATGTCTATACAGCTGGTAGTAACAGTTGTAGTTTTGTTTGCTAAGAAACAAACAAACATACAGGTTTCCCTTTTTGGTGTTTAAGTTGTTATATCTTATATTATGTATCAGCTTGTTCTTTTCTAGCTGGTTCCATGCTGTATGATGTTTCCACCGAGAGAAAAATGCCAACCACGAGATATTTGTTTATACAAATTTCGCCCCAAATAAAACATACTTGGTGTCTTAGGAAAGTCTGGTGTCTTTCATTGAATGTTACTTGGCTGCACAGCATTATGAGGCATTCTTCTTTAATGCATCTTGTATGTCTGATGCATAAATACACTGTACTGCTGATACTATATTGATGTCTACTTTTACCTCAAGTCATTTGTTCAAAACAGCACTTTTATTTACAGTTTTCTATTATTGTGTCGCCATTTTACAGTAAGTATACTTTTGTTTTTTCCACAAGACACACTGGACCATCTGCGCCATTTCACATACAAAAGTAAAACCTTCCAGGCCAGGCTACAGGCCTCCTAGAAATTATCATTATTAGCCACACCTGCAGGATAACATTGTTCGCAATAGTGACGTTCAAGTTCCTACAGTCCTTCTCGAAAGGCTTATTCACCACACCTACCATTATTTTAACGTCCCAAAAATGAGCACAGGGAGATTAAATGATAATGTGTTAATTAATGCATTGACACAGCGTGAAGGCTTGTGTGCCTGTGTAAGTAATTCATTCAAGTATGACGTGTAGGATGAGTGTCAATCAAATCTGTAGCTCCTCTGCACTAGTAATGGAACATTTCTTTGTCCACACCCCAGGTCGCATTTGAAAACACATGCATCCTTGAGACAACCTCTCCTTGAACCAGTTAGTGAAGTTGAGCCACTTGTTGCTCAAGAGTAAAAAGAACATCGACCCAACAATATTTACAATCTCAGGAAAATACAATACACTAAATCCTTTGTAAAAGACTTAAAATGTGACAGTATACACGACCAAGTGTGGTTTCCAATACACAGCTGCACCAAGAATATGTGCCTGACCAAGCTCTACATGTTCCTTGGCACCTGAGATTGCTGCTTGTTTTCTATCCTACAACATACTAAATATATATTCAGCCGGTGTCAAATCATTTCTTATTTATGAAACCTGTCTTATTAGTTATTAACCAATAACAACTCTTTATCTGGAGACTGATGCACACGAACCAGAGTCAGTGATTTTGCATTTTCACTACCTTTTCTCACACCGACTCCACCAGCTACTGAAAGTTCAGCATCGGCCAGATATCTTCTCCCTACTATGTAAATATGCTGATAATCAAGATGATAACAAGCCTTTTACTTACACAACATCGCATAAACTGCTGTGAAATATAATCACGCTCAAAGTATTTCTGTTGTGTAAGGAGATGAAACACTTGTCTTGTTGGTCTACAAATGTAAATTACTTGATGACATTGTGTGCATGAAAGCAAATGACTGCCTGAGCAGGGCAGGGCACACCAACCTAAAAGATTTTGCCTGTGCTCCTTTGAGCTTTTTAGTGTTGCATTAATGACAGAATAGCATTAATAAAAGGAAGATAATACTCTTCAGACTCCTAAGTGCTACAAAAATGTAGCTTTGCCATGAAATTACTGTGGGATTCACTTAGAATCAGAAAGAATTATGTGATTCCCCTCAGTATTATATTAATTCTCATCAAATAAGTTCCCATATGTAACACACAAACATGTCAGTGATGTGCAGCAGTACATAGATGGCTAAATATTGAATACTGAAAAGGCCAAAGGGCGACTTTGGTCCACTTGTGTTGTGGGTTTCTAGGCAGGAAGGGCGATTTTAAAAAAAAAATCTGTAGCTGTATGCAAATTTTACCTGATGAGCACTGGGAATAAGCACCCTGTTCTGTTTCACTAAGTTCAGTTACATCAGCAAGCTCTGCAGGTGCACTTTTTTTGTAGTGAGCCTGTTCAGAGGTCATGGTTTCTATTTGAGGAGGCCTTCATGCCTCATGCCTCCAGTCCTGCTCCAAGGCTTCTGTCTGCATTTATTATGACTGAACAGTGTAGAGCTGTGGGACATGAGGCAGGTGCTTTCACAGGCTCAGTCAGCGTAAGTAAGATGTTGGCCTGTTGGCTCTTTGCAGTTTAACTATCCATGACCTCAACCAAAGTGGTAAGAAGACTGTCCTTTTTGGTTATAGTTTCTCCATTATGCATTCTCAAATCCAGGGCCTGACTGTCTAAGAGCAGTACGTGTATTTGTGTGACTGAGGCTTCTGACATGATAGTGACAAAAAAAAGTAGGGTTCATAAAGATGTTGAATGAATTATTCATGGCCAATCACTGATAATGTCTCCAAAAGCTGGGGAAATTTGCAAAATCATACTCCTTATCATACATTTATAGCTTGCAAATTATCCAAGCGTGCCTAAGGGGAGATAAGAAAATTCATAAACTCAGCACAATAAGTCTTTGAAGCAAGCAGATTTGTTCCCTTATAACAGCACTGACAAATTGTACACAGTGCATCATTGCCTCGGAAGTTTTATTTCTGTGATTAGTGCAAGGACTGAGGAAATTCTTTATCATAACACCACAGCAGCGGCACAAAAGGAACATGAAAAAGACTAAATTTAGGACTGATACTTGTCTGTTTCACACTGATGTACTCAGATCATTGACTGTACAGTTTCAGACAGTGAAATGAGTAAGATCGCTGTGAGTTAATGCCTAACAATGGCACCTTAAAGCAGGCACTTCATCTTGATGTCTGGGCCTTATATTACCTATTTTTCTTCATGTTCCAAAAAAATGCCATGCTTTTAAACACTGTTTACTCTTTTCGCAGTTGGCAAACTAACATGTTTGTACTGATAATGTGTTACCATCTCATTGGCTGAAGTCCGTGCCTTTCATCCAATCAGTGAACGGAAACCTAAAAGTCACTGTGACTGTGCCACCGGTGATGTCAATATTGACGAAGGCATCCTGGACACGTACAGTATATTCTGTGTATGCACACGACCAACATAACTTGTACACGTCTCACTCAGGTGTAACCCTTCACCGCTATATGTGTGGAATTACTTAAGTGCTGGCTAATGAAGCGGCATTAAGCACTGTTACCAGCAGTTTCCTTAACAGCCTTGTGTGGAGTAATGCAAAAAAACCCAACAAATGGCTTAAACGTTTCCATATGTAAGCAATTTAGAAGTGCTCTGTCTTTGTATACAAGTCATTGATAACCTATTTTTATTCATATTATGAGACCAGCAGGGAAGTGGTTTGATGAATGACCTGGTTCACAAAAGTATATTTCATTGCAGATTATTTGTTTAGGTCATGTTGCTTAGTGCTGCTCAAAAAGTAGGACATGAAATGTGCATTTTCAGTGGTGGCGATTCCCATGAGTACTCTGGCATTTCCTCACAGCTTACCTAACCCACACAGTCCCATCTCAGGATCCACTGTGGTCAATGGATTTAACACAAACATGCATACAGCTGTGTTTAAATTCAAGGGCCCACACACTGAAACTTAGTGGAAACAGGATACAGTGGAAAGATTGATACTGCCACCTTGTGGTTTGATGGGTGGCTCTTTAAACTACAGATTTGGTGTATTTTCATGCAACCGAAGACTTGTGCGGAATTAAATAAATAAGCTCAAGACAAATAGAGAATGGCACAGATGAAACTTGGGAAAGTAGGATTTATTCAATGCCATTATTACAAATTTATAAAATGCTAATGTTCTGTAAGAAAAGCATCATGTAAAGGAATTCACACAGTTGGAATCCATTAGAAATACATTCAATTTCTTAAAAAAAAACTATAATGCATTTTAACACTCCACTGTGCCTGGTCATGATTGTAATGTATTTTCTTATCTTCTTAGTGCATCTTTTTTTTTTTTTTTTTTTTTAATAACTGTTTAAAATAAACAAACTGTTTAGAAGATCTGGTAAATATATCAGGTCTGATACACAAGAACCCATCAATAACAAAGGGGAATTCATGGCAAAATAAAGAAAAACAACAATTACGCACTGAAAAGGAAAGAGTATATAGGCAGAGTTGGCTGGGGGAAAGAGGCTGCTGAGGGCAGAATACATGTAGTGCAGGTGTGTAATGAGTGATGAACCAATGTGGATTTTACTAAAAATGCTAGATTCTTACATAGCCTATTAGTTTACAGATTTCTTGCAGAAATCTTTCTTTTCATCCATATTTGCAAAATGAATGTGCATCTTAAGATATCTGTTGGGATCAGAGGCCAGTTCAACAAGAATGTGGGGACCAATCCAACTGTCCATTCCTGAGGTGAAGTGAAGCTATTTTAGACTTGAAGATGAACTGTCTTGTAGGTCAGTCATAAGTTTCCCTACTAGAGGGTTGGTTTAGTTACACTCCAGTGTCAGAGCCTGGGAATGCAGAGTATGAGGATGTTTTGAGGATGATTTTATTTTACAGGCACTAGTTTTGCTTCTGTAAAACAAAAACAAAAAACCCAGCTGATTAAGCATATGAAGCATAAAACGTAGGTTATGGCGACGTGAAAAACATTCACAAAATGAAAGGTATTTAAAAGTGGACATGAGAAAAGAAGGTTAGAGTCAGAATGTACGGAGGAAGAAATATCATCAAAAAGGCAAATTTTCTATTATGTGCATAATGTAAAGATGAAACAAGAAATTAGGGAAAAAAGAAAATCAGCCCTATTGATGCTGCAAACAATGGAAGACCTTAATGTTGGCAGCCTCATTCTCTGGAGGCAGTCACACTGAGTTAGACCTCCATAAATAATGGAAAAGGATGGACCACGGACCAGAGGACAGGGACTCTGTAAACATGAAGACATTCTGCTTACGAGACACTTGGTCTCATGCAGGGTTTTAAAGTGGCATCAGACCCATGGGTGGGAGCAGAGATGGGGCTTAGGTTCATGTCCATGCAAGGCCCCGGGGACGCCAGGTTTTCATTTGCTATGACTGGTCACTTGGTGATGGTAGGACAAAAATACTTTAAAAAAAAAAAACCATGTCAGTTGTTCTTGAGCTGGTCAATGCATCCCTGCAATAGAGTCACATTGTTCTGTGGAGACAGGAGAAAACAATATTAATATTCCTGACAAATGGAGTTCTGTTTTAAGTCAGGAGGATATCCAATATCTCACCTAATAAAATGCACATTAAATGTACAACTCTATCCCACTTATAATTAGGTTTTTGTTGTGTTTGCATGCTCAAACAACATATCTTACTTATGGAAACCAGAACAAATTGTTATCCTAATTATAAGTAAATCAAATAAGTTTGCTGGGTGATTTTGAAAAGAAACAGTGATGCTGTGGCATGTAAACACCATCAGTGAGCCCAGGTTTCTGCTCACTGTCTGCCACCTAACACAAGCAAATCTTCATTGCATGTCACTCTCATTACTGGCAATGATAGAGAAAACCACAAGGGGGTTTTAAAATGCATGAGCATCAAGGTAAACACAAATCAAAGTGGGTAAATTCTCAAGTCAATCATAAAAACAAACACTTACTGAAATGCTAAAAAATGTAATATGTGCCTGCAAAAACAGTAATTATAAACCTGAATAATATTATAATCGTGTATACAGGGGTATAGATAAAAGGGGCAGTGAAAAGATTTATTTTCTAATTTAAAAGTCCTTTATTTTGGTGATTTATAATTGTGTCTCTAGGAGCATTCAAGGGTAGGTTTATTTGCTCAGGGTAAATGATTAAATGCACTAAGTAGAAGCAGGAGGGGTGTTAACCTTAATTTGTAAATAATATAATGTTTACAACTTCCAGTAACACGGTGGCAGCATTTTGTGTGGTTTCAAACCCCTCCTCTTTCATTGTTCAGTCCAAACTAAACCAGTGCTGACCAGTGTAGATGACTAACGCAGTACACAGAAGTCTTCTCAGGCAGATACAGATTCTATAAAAGCGAGAGTTGCTATAAACTCAGCCTATTAAGAGTGTTGTTGCGAATGCAAAAACATCTAGGGCCAGATGGATAAACATTTCCCACACATAAACTGCTATTTGCAAAACAAGAACATGTGTTTGCACCTCATTCATACTTCAGGTCAGCCAATACAATATCAATACAATTAATGACAATCAAAAGGTACACGTATAAACTTTTAATTAACTGCTTTTGCATACTAAATTATGTTATTATCAATATTATATTAATAACAATAATAACATATAATATAATATAATTTATCACCTTTCTGGCATTTCATGACTGAGATATTAATGCTGATAATGTTCACAGGTGAGATTAATTAATGACATTATGGCTGTATAATAGTAATTGATTATACTTTATCTGCATAATACTATAGGCACCAGGTGTGCGCCCCTATAGGAAGTTAAAATAATATTTTAATTTGCGTAAAAATCACCAGACTTCATCACAAAGTATAAGTTACGAATAAACAAACAACCTCACGCATGTCGGCTGTAATGTGCTGCTCACCTTGGCGTGTTTTATCTCAAGCTCCGCCATCTCTATGAGGTTCTTCCTGAAGGCCACAACACGCCTGCCCTTGAAACTGGTGAGTTCTATGAGAATAACATCGTCCAGTTAAAAAATAGCTTGCGCAGTGCCTGCTATTTTTACACACAAAGAAACAAGTACAGAGCGAGCCTGTATCTCTTATGCACGGATGCACACACCTTTTTTCCCAGACTCTGAGAGCTTGTCAAATTTCTGCAGGCAGTGCTGCTGGTGCTCCTCTGCTTGGGGGATGTCCTTGCTCTTCAGTCGAGCCTTATCCAAAGCCTTGTTAGAGTTCTCATAGTCAGCTAACGCCCGGGCTCGCCTGTACAGAAGGTCCTGACATGTTCCAGGAAATTAAACATGAGGAAAAAAAAAGTATGAAAAGGGAAAGCAGAGAAAGTGAACTTGAACTATTTTAGAGATGACTTGTCTCCGTTGGGAAAATGTCTAATAATCTAAAACGGTCAACATGCAATGGTTCAAAATCTAATCTCCTGTTTCAAAAGACAGAGTTTAACAGCAGAAAATTACACTTTTTGAGTATAAATGAGAATATATGCATTTTTGTTTTGTATAACAGGGTTGGTTACTGCTCCTCAAATGCAATTATTTCAATTTGAATATCTACTCAATCTGTCTTCATGCTGAATACAACCAATATGAACATCTCTAATACCACATAGACTAGAAAATGACTGCCTTGCTACTCAGAATAATGGATATTATTTATATTCATCTTCACTCCTAAATGTACACTCCTTAATTCAGATTTACTTATAAAAAGACAACAAGGATTAATACTGAGCCCTGATCTGTGGAATAAAGCAGACCTTTTGATATTTCCAGTATTGTGAGTCCTGTGCAATATATTGGTGTATAACATCTGTGCAATATCTTTATGTAGGGCATTGTGCAATATTCTTGGTGTGTATGTCTCAGTGTTTATAGATGTGTGTGTGATACAGCTTGTTACGTGTAGTTTGACTGTACATGTGTGCTTTTAAGTCAACAGTGTTATTCTCAACTGCCCGAGACAAACTTCTCCTAAGAGAGACAATAATGGCTAATCTAAATATTGTTCTGTCTGGTTGGAACGGGTTGCATCGAGTTATGGAAATACAGCAAAATGTCAAATTCATGAACAAGGAACACAGCTGTGAGTATGTGCATCTCGTACGAAGAAACTGAGGATAAACTTGTCTCACCTTGGCTGCCTGGATGTCTCTCATGTAATATCTCAACAGCTCAGTGAGTTTCAGCTCCTGGTCAGATGCTACTCTTCCCTCCACTTTCTGCAGAGACACAGATGAAGACAAATAGCGGCTACCACAGTGTATTTACAAAATCAGGACAAAACTTTTCTGCCGTGTCTTAGTTTGTAACTAAAGTCCTACTTACTCTGAGCTTCTCAAACAGGTCTGCCAACTTCTCCAGGTGCCTGAGAAAAAAAAGTAAAGCCATAATGTGGAAAAACTCTCCAACTATGTCTTTGATCAAGATGTGAATTTATACAACTTTTGTCCACAAGAGGCCAAAAGAAAAAAGAAAATCATTAAATTACATATTAAACTCACTTCTTATTTGCTGTACTATCATCAGCAGAGAGACTGTTCAGGGTGGCAGAGACGTGAATGTAATCATCCGCAATATCTGTAACAACAGAAATTAGCATGAAAAACTTCCAATTATAAATTAATTTATTCCACCCCATTAAAAATCTGATTTAATATGGTAATGTAAAAAACCCTCTAATACTTTTGTGTGCACGGGTCATTTTCTCTGCTTTGGCAGTGGAATCTTTTATCTTGCTGTAGTAGTCGAGCAAGAATGTTTTCTCCTGCTCGAAAAAGTCGTCGACTTCCTGTGGAGGAAACAAACACGCAGACAAAAGGTAAGTGGCGACGACATTGGATAAGACAAGTCTGTGATGCTGTCATGCATGTACTGTACGCAGAAGCCCCACCTTTATTCCTGAGATAAGGACCTCATCAGCTGACTTCACCATGTTTTTAAAGAATCCTCCAAACATTTCCTTGGCATTCTTTCTTCTCACGCTGAGCTAAAATGACAGAATGAAGAAGGGGAATGTATTAAAATCAATGAGAAGAATATGATGCATTTGTTCAAGCTTATCATACGACATTCTGGGAACTAAGATGGGCCTGAAATAATGTCCGTGACTTCACCAATAGTTCATTGTTTTTGTATCATTATGTGTCCACAAACACATGCTGCATGTTACAAGTATATGAAGTGTTTAACTCTTCTTGTTAACAAATACCACTGCCACTGACTGACAAAGACTACACAGATAAGCATAACTGCTGATCACAGCAGGATGTAAGCCATGTGTCACCAGTCTCCAGTAAACTCTACTTCCTCTCTTTCCAACTGACAACTCTGGAAAGGAAGTCAGCATTATGGGGAACTCACATCCTGGTCATACTCTAAGAAAATCTGGAAGTTTCTGTCTTTGCTTAAAGTGGGGTGAGAGGACAATCTCTGCAGGAAGACTTCGTGCACTTGGACAGTTTTCTTGAACACAGCCAGGTATTCACTGAAAAGAAAAGAAAAACAGCAAACATTATATATATAAATGTATATTTTTTGTAAAACAATATTTCATGCAGGTTTTGTAAAGCATCTAACATGACGCTGTCTAAAGGACACAATACAATTCATGGTGTTTTGTTTGAGTGTCACACTCACGCTTCCAGCTCTTGCTTCATTTTAGTGTACTCGTCCTTTGTCATAGTGGCTTCACCTTCCCCCAGTTTGTGCATCTTCTCTCTTGGGCTCTCAAAGTCAGGCTTTGGGGGCGCTGGAGGAATCTATGAATGACAAAGCAGGAAATAAGTTACTTTCAAAACTAATGATGGGTTAAATTAAAAGGACCAGTTTGTAGGACTTTGTGTTTTGTCTAGCACTGAGCCGACCAAGCACAGGAGAAACTACAGTGGCTGCAAAACAAAAAAAGGCAGAAGTCCATGTTTGTCCATTCTGAGCTACTCTAGAAACACAAAGGTTCAACACAGCGCAGCGGCCTCTGCAGAAGAGGACCCTGTAGATAACAATGGCTCATTCTAAGGTAATGAGACAATATGATTCCTATTTTCAGATGATTATATACGAATGAAAACATACTTATGAATATTATATTCCATTTATGCCAATAGATCCTCCTAAATGTTACACACTGTTCCTTTAATGTGTAATATATACAATTAAAATATGCATACATACATCAAAAAGAATTAAGACAAATGGTGATCTTTCTATTTATTTGATTCATGTCTGCAGGAAGTTAAACTCACTATAAGTCCAGCATAGTCCTCGGTCTCAACCAGTGTGTCATGAAGCCAGATGAAGTCTTCATGCTGCCTGGGAACGGAGAACTCTGGCTTCTGGAAAGAGCTCAGTGTGGTCTGCAAATATACGTAATATTATAATTTGAAAAGAAAACTGTCTACATATCAGCGTATACTCGTATAGAATACTTTTAAACTTCTTACCTTAGTATGGACAGTAAACTTGACTTTGTCCCTTTCACAGAGTGCATCAGGAATGTCAATGAGAAGAGAGGCATCATGGTTTAGATCCACAGACACAGAGCGCATCTAAGGAAAAGGAATACACCAAGGTTATATAAAAAAGTCATAATTATTCACTTTATTTTGGGTTTTGTTATCTACAGTGTCTCTACTGTTTCCGTGGGGTACGACAGATTTAAAAGTGTAAAATGTGGGAATGCATATAGCAGTGACACTTCTCAAGCAAAGCTCATAAGTGTTGCGTTTTGAACATTAGTTCAATAAGAGCAATAATTGTAATCAGTCTCCATAATTCCCATATATAAGCAAAATCTTATATAAGCCAGTAAGGCAGCACTACAAATCACCAGTGTCTGAAGTCTTCCCTTGCTTAACAATGTACAAACAGAGGAATCTTCTGTTAGCTGCAACAATTTTGAGAGTCCGAAGACATTTTCTCTGATTCAACCCCCACCGAACCTGCCTGGCTAAAACTTCACGGTAAGGTTCAAACTGAGGTTGGAGGGTTAGATAAACAAACATATAACATTTTTAAAAAATAAAAAACATATTTCCTAGCACACAGGGCCCCTCAGAATTCATAATGCACAAAAATGTAGTACTGTGAATGATTCTTCCTCTAGTGTAGAGCTTTAAATGTTGGGTAAGTAAAAAGGTTTAGATCTGACAGCAGGTCTCAAACTTCAGTCCAACTTTGGCATAACAGCTTCCACACCCCTGTAGATCTGTTATATTACAACAACAAAAAAAAAAAGAGAGCAAACATACCGTAATCTTGTCTATTTACTCTTGCTGGTTAAAGAATACACTCAGTTGCCTCATGAAGGATAATGTGCAGTTTTGAGGCTGTAGTTTATATTATCTCATTGATGTACATGAGCCAGACAAAATAATAGAAACTCACCACAAACTACACCCTCCAAAACGACCATAAAACTCACAAAAACTAACATTAAATCATCAAGACACCTGTCAGAATGATGCTAATTTTATTCCACAGGCCCGTGTAGTGCACAGCTCTGCAGTGAAGTCCTTTTAAAAAAGGTAATTATAAACGTAATGTAAGAGAAACCTTAAACCCATTCAGGCTGTGTTACTTTGCTTATAACTTTAACGTTGACAGTAACTTCACTAATGGGTAACATTAATGAGCAAAAACAACACTTTTCCGCATGAACGCAGCTGGACTCAACCCACGTTAACCCTCTTCCTAATCGCTTTATCCTTTAAAGAAAAAAAAAAAAAAAACACGATAGCTTAGCTTTAGCCAGGAGCTAAAGAAAAACAAAACAACTTAGCGACGTTAACTAGCCCCAAAAAAAAAAAAAAAAAGCAGCCGTTAGCGGCCGTTGGTGCAGTTTAAACGCCCCCAAAAAAATAAAATAATAAAAAATAAAGATTATTTAACTTACCTTTTCCTTACTGCTTTCGTCTATGCTGGATGTCATGGTTGGAGGGAGATCGACGAACAGGCCAACAACCCCAATAATAAAAGTATAGAGCCAGGAAGCTCCTTCCTCCGCTGACTGGTTAGCTCCCTGACGAACTGTCAGATCGGTTACTCCTCCTCCTCCTCCTCCTCCTCCTCCTCCTCCTCCTCCTCCTCCAACCTCGTGAAACATTTAAAACCCGCCTCACCGTGGATGTGACTGGGCAGCGTCGACTTTATCGATGCGCCGATTGGTTTTTAAGCCTAATCAATCATGCCACATGTTTCCTCTCTCCGCTGTGTGAAATATTCGTAAGCTTTGTAATTTACGATGTTACGTTTTTTTTTTTTTAGTTATTGTTTGCTAACGAGCGGAAGAGGGTTATTTATTAGTTAGTGACATTAGTTACACGGATGTATTTTAATGACGCACTGATGCAGGTACATGGGTAATGTAGTTTTTTTTTACTGTTACACACCCGGAACTACCAGCTTCTTTTATTAATAACAAATAATGTATAAACTTATTCAAAAATTCTACTACTTTAATATTACTTATTAATTAATTTAAAAAAAATTTAGTTAACACAAATGACATAGGAGAGTAAAATTAATAATTAAAAAATTATATTATATAAATTATATTTAAGACATAAGTGTAAAAACATTTTTTTTTAGCAGAGGCATTATTGATCTTTTTATAGATTTATTTATTTAAATTCCTGCCACGCTGGAATTTATTTGGCGAATCGACGCCCGTGAACCCGGAAGTCCTCCACCGGAAGTTTGTGCGACCGCGGAGGCGCGTCGTTCGGAAACAAAGCGCTTTTTTTTTTTTTTTTCTGGACGAGTTTCTCTGGAATACGCCGGGGCAAGTACGGTCTCAATAACGAACCCAAAAAACCGAAACTTCTCGTATTTACACGTAGTTCGATAGCTATGTTATAGTCGTACAAGCTTGTTGTGTGAAAAGCCGCCAAAATGTTAGTTATTAAACGCGTGGTGCCCTTTGGAGGCACCATTGTCTCTCAGTGGACCTCCCTCTCTGTGACCAGTTTCTCGGTTTGTCATGGCCTAACATCCCCAAAGAAACACAGCCCGTACAGCTCCGTGGACAGTGAGCGCTACTCTTCTCTTGTAAAGTCTACCATGACATCGAGGACCAGTTCCCAGACCGTCGACAGCATAGAAGCGGAGGATGAGCACATTTATGGACCTGTTATCAAAGCTTCAAAGCCCTCTATCACCCCAAAGGTGAGGGAAGCTAAAACCCTCCATCCCTTCCTACACTGCGAAGAGACTCTGGAAACAGAGGAGCCAGAATCAGGACCTCCAACTCGGATTGCGTTAAACCGGGGCAAGGGCAGGTCTTCTGTACCGAGTGTGACCCGCATTTTACAGCAGACCATGTCCCCGGGTCAGATCCTCTTACTGGAGAGATGGAAGAGGAAGATGATCGCAGAGCTTGGAGAGGATGGCTTCAAAGAATACACTAAGAGTAAGTTTGTGTAACATCAATGTGACACCTACCTATTGTGTGGTATCTATAATGTGGGGTTTTCTAGAACAGTGACCAACAGTTGTTGTATTCAATCAGATCTATTCAGACAAGGGAAGCTTTTCCATTCAGCGTTGGAGGACACTCTGACAGAAGCAGCGTGGAAGAACAAAGAGACACCAGAGTATCCACCCGACGTACAGGGATACCTGAAGAGCATCTCTCACGTACTGGAGGATGTCAGTGCAGTGAGAGCCATTGAAAGCACCGTACAACATGAAACTCTGAACTACCTGGGAGTGGCGGATTGCGTTGCCCGCTACAGGTAAATATCCTGATTTGCAAGTAAAGATAGGCCAGACTCTTCCACAACGAGACTGTTCTCACTACACATTTTCTGTCCACAGGGGTGTATTGTGTGTGATTGACTGGAAGACCTCAGAGAAGCCCAAACCCTATCTGAGGAACACATATGACAACCCTATTCAGGTGGCGGCCTACGCTGGGGCTTTGAACTCTGATGGCAACTACAAATACCAGGTGATCTACTGAGAAACATGATGTGATTGTATGCTTTACACCCAGATGACCTGTTCTCATAAATTGTAGCTTCTTATAGTAAGATGAATCAGCTACAACCTCGCTGATTTATTGTAATTTACAGGTTGAAAATGGACTCATTGTAGTGGCCTACAAGGATGGCTCACCTGGCCATGCTCATGAGTTGAGCTCAGAGCTGATGTCGGAGTACTGGAACGCTTGGTTGCTTCGTCTGCAAGAGTTCACTGAACAAAGGTAAAGCAGTCACCAGGGTTTTTTAATATTCCTTTAAAAGATGATTTCAGTTCTTTTTAATAAATTGTGGATTTTATTCAGAAATGAATGCATTAATACTGTTTGATCATATAGAATAGAATAGAATAGAATAGAATTGCCTTCATAAACTAGTGAAGCTGAAATGATTAGTTAACTAATCATTTGGTAACTTGAGAGGAATCTAATTGATAATTGATTAATGATGTAATAATCTCAAGACATCACTTTGGACTATAGTTACTTGTGATGGCAGTTTCTAATTGTAATTAACCTTTTATATAAATTATGAATTTAAAAAACACATTATTTAATAATGAGCATTGAAGATCTAAAAAAACCCTATTATTTTTTCAATATATGGTAATAAATATGCACTTTTACTTTAAGATTTGTTTCTTTTCATTTCAGATCCAGTCTTGCATCAAATGAGAAAATATGATATGTGATCAGCAATGTCCATGAAACAGGTTATATCAGCTTAAAGCAACTGAACCTGAACTGAAAATACAACATGCTCTCTTACAGTAGCAGGAACTCTTTCTTTACCCTCATTTTTGACAAATACTTTCAGTTAATCTCACTAATGTTTTGTGCTACAGATGCACATTAGTAAGTTCATTAGACTTTTTTACACATACATATTACCCTTCTTTGAGGTATTTAAAGATCATTGAATTGAAACCAGGCTTCCCTGTGTGAGGGATCCTCAGTGAAGCCCAGGTTTTTAAAGAGATTGTATGAGACCTCATTCTCCTCCTCAATGAAGCAGTACACTGGGTAGCCCTGAGCGTGGAGTCTCTTGGCCATGGTGCTGACCAGGACTTTGGCATAGCCTTTCCCCCTGTGCTCTGGCAGAGTGTGCAGCATCCCCATGGCACACGTCGGATAGGTCAGGATCCAGGCCACGGGTTTTGCTTCTGCATCCAGCACGCAGCAGGAGGGGAAGTTTGCGAGCATGTTCCGGATCATCCCGACAGCCTCCCTCGTCTTTGCAAACTTCCACGACTGATTCACCAAGCCAACGTGCGATTCATCCATAGAGCTGAGGGAGATCCCTGAGCTGATGCAGAACAGAGCAGAATCAGGCTTTATTAATGAGCTATTAAGACTTTAAAATAATGATTTTAGACACTTAAGATGTCAGTGCATGGGTAGGCTCTCTACCTGTCTATAGAGGGAAGGTCGGATACATCCTTCAGTATCATCATGTGACACACTGCCAGTTTGCAGCTCGGAACGTTTTTTTCTGAGGCCACCGCTTTGAATATATCAACGTGGCGAAGATTGATTCCTTGGACAGACGTAATGCAATTATTTTTTTAATGGAATATCTATTAACAGAAATAAATGTGTATTTCTTTTGAGTTCTGAAGAAAATGTATTGTTTATACAAGATTAAAGATTCTAATCATTCAGTCAATTCTAAGTTATTTCAACCGTGTGCAAATCTTGAGGTATTTGAAAGATTAAAAGGTCACAAAGTTGCTCTCATATTAAGGAACAAGCAGTTAGTTTGTTTTTACACAGCCATTTTTGAATAGAAAGTTTCTGTTCCCTGTGATATGAATGCCTTGCACATTTCTTCCTAACTTCTCCTTTTTTATTTATTATTCAGATATTGTAATGGCACCACGTATGATCTTTGCACTCATAACTTTTTGTGGTGTAGGAATACAACATAAAATAGTGCCATATCTTTCTCAGATCATTAAATGATACGCCATAACTATGGGAGGACTTTGAACACAATGAAAGAAAAGATAATAAAACTCAAAGCGGCGGCTCAGAAATAATGTTAATGTCTTGTCATTGACTGATGTAGGATGGATCATTTAATGGCACATTCCAACACTTAAAGTATAAAGATCAGTGCATTAATGCCATTATAGTATTTCAGTTATCATAGGGACACCCTTCAAGAGCAATGTGCGATAAAAATAAAGAGAATAAAAGGTAAATGAACTGACTTTAATATTCAAGAGACCATTAGAAGAACAAAAGAAACTTATTTTTATTACCAAGACAGAGGAATCTGGTCCAATCAATAACAGAGGACTTCCTTATGGTTTCCTCTAGAATAGCTTCATCGTTTGCAAAAACCGGTGTGTCTTTGAAGAGATCACCCTCCTGTAAGAACAAATGAAGATGCTGTATATGCAGAAATATATACTATACATATGTATATATTTAATGCACATAACATTAGTAGTTACCTTTTCATATTGTGGTTTGCAGATAATGACATTGAACTCTGGCCACCTGTCCACTAAAACCTTCACAGGGTCTGCTCTGACCTGATCTGATCTGTTCATTAGGACCAAATAACCGTAAACCTTAAAAATGAAATAGTTGTATTAGTTATTCAGGCAGTGAGTGTAGTTAAAGGTGTTGTTAAGCAAACATAGTAATATTCGTCAAATCAGAGTAGATCTGACCGGACAGACCTGTTGCGACCGAGGTAAATATTTTTTCAGCCGGGTCTCAGTTATTTTCAGTTGCTCTCCGGTCAGTTCCATGGTCATTTCTGGAGATGTTTCTTTCCCAATCCGGAATATTAAATGAACTGCACCCAACTCCAGAAACGCATATTAGCCTGCAGAGTCCTGAGAGTGCAATGTTTCCGTCTGAAGTTGGTTTCTGATTCGCACTTTCGCTGCAGACATGTAAATTCTCGGCGAAACTCCAAGTTCACGTGCATTATAGGGTGGACATAAAATTCCCCAAACCTTTTTTTTAATGTTTGACACAATAGAAAAAGGGATCATTTCACAGCTGTTTCTCCAGACCATAACATAGAAACCCACGTCTAAAAATAACGCACTGTCTATAGATTACTTTAAAGCTTGTTTCATAAGCCTGGACACAATAAAATGTTGTACTTGAACCTGGACTGGAACCTATTGAAGCTTTGAGAGTAATTTAAAGTGGAAAACACATTCTCTTCGAAACATGAACAAAACAAGGTATGCATAAAATGTCTTTATTATTGGGAACCACTGTTACTAATAATTGCACAGGTGTGTATAAAATGAGGCAAACTCTATGGTATATATAGAGAATATACAGTACAGTATGTGTGTATGAACATCATTTTATAATTCACAGAAAGGAAAGCATGAATCAACACAACTTCATTTTATTTATCTCTCTTCTCTAAATACCTGTATGAAAATGTGACATTATTATTGTATTAGTGTTAGTTAATGCCTCTTTACCCTTATAATACAGTCAGTATATAACCAGGAGAATTTATAACCACTTTAAAACCTGATATTATGTCAGCTATGCATTCAGAGAATTATTACAAAATCACAATTGTTACAAAATCAAATGTTGAACTCGAACCACCCCGCCCTGTATGAGGGATCCTCAGTGAAGCCCAGGTTTTTAAAGAGCCTGTAGGAGACCTCATTATCCTCCTCTATGAAGCAGTACACTGGGTACCCCTCAGCGTGGAGTCTCTTGGCCATGGTGCTGACCAGGACTTTGGCATAGCCTTTCCCCCTGTGCTCTGGCAGAGTGTACAAAATGCCAAGGGCACAGTAGTCGTACACCAGCATCCAGGACACCGGTTGACCCTCACCATCAGTGATGCAGCATGACGGGAAGTTGCCGATGAGGTTTTTAATGTTCGTGTGACCCCTCTTGTTCCCTCCAAACTTCCAGGTGTTATTCACCAAGTCAACATGGGAAAGGTTAAGAGATGAAATCCTTGATTCAAGCTCACTGTAGGGAAAAAATGATTAAGATAACCGTTCATCTGAGTGGAGGAATAATATTAGTTTACTTTTCTCTTAAGTGAAATATACACACTTTAATTATCTGACTGTACCTGTCAACTGCTGGTGGGAGCAGATGGCTGCTGTCTGGCAAATACAGAAGACGCACCAATGTATAGCCTCTGTTGTTGACATCTCTGGCAGAAGACACTTCTTTGAGCATGGGGGCATGGGAAAAGTCAAATCCTGCAGGACAAAAATGATTCACCATTATGTTACTTTTCCAGTAGTGAGGGAAGTATTCACATATTTACAGCAGTGTAAACGTTTTTTGGTGTTAAGGACCCTCAAACTGATACACATTGGGTCATAGACCCACATTTGATCCGTGTCTCATAACATTTAGTTATTCCATACCTGTCTGTACTGTAGGTTGTCAGATTAACAGTAAAGAGTGTAAAACCTATGACCAAAAAAGTCCTTCTTATACATATTATACATATACTATACAAAAAATAGTGAAAAGTGAAATTAAATTTCCCCTATTTTATATGGACCCCCTGGAGCCCTCTCAAGGACCCCTGGAGGTCCACCAGACTCCTGATTGAGAACCACTGCTCTACAGTTAAAGAAGCAAAACCACAATACAAATTACTAACCCTAAATGCTGCATAACTAGTCCTATCAAAACACACTTAAAGTATATAAAGTAATAGCACTCAATGCCCTGAGTCTAACACTTTTACAATGTTATACTGATTATTGTAATTGTACTGTAGTTTAATAATAATGCATCATACATTTATAGGCTCATCATACTGTTTTGTGTGTAAAATCTTATTTGTAAAGTAGAAACTAACACTGTCAAAGCACTTGTAAAAAGTTAAAAATGTTACCTCTAAATTGCAGTGCAGAGAAAGCATAATGTGGCATGAAATTGAGATAGAGAAAAGAAAAGCACAATTATTACTGGATGATAAAACCCTCTCTGCAGCGCTGAAAACTCGCCTCCAATAAGGAAGTAAGTTCTCCAGTCAATTGCATTTTCTTCTGTCAGCATTCTCCTTAAAATCTGTTCATCCGTGCTGAAGTATGTCACCTTTTTCATGAACTCCAGAGCGCGCTTGTTCTGTGAAATGAACGCACATATTATTCTAGTGTTATCACATGGTTAAAAGCTGCAACGCATCCAATGGGATGTGAACTCACCTTGGGGTCAGGTCGGCAAATGATCACCTTAAAATCAGGCCAGGTATCAACGACTACCTCCAGTGTACTCGGTTTATTCCTGTTAATACCATAGAGGAAGCCATATACCTAAAAAAAATAAGTATTAAGGCGGTGACTGTGCATGCTGACATACTGAGTTCTGCGTTTTAAATGGCTTGCATGCGTCTACCTTCAAACTCTTCGGGACGTGTTTCAGCAGAACTCGTTCAGCGGTGTGAAGCTCTTCTTTGTTCAGGACCTTCATGTTTTTTGGGGGGTTATGAAACCTCTTAATGTTGTTGTCCGACCTGTCTTGTTTGTTTAAACTGAACTGTCCCACCAGTTATGGCCTTGATGAATCATTTACAGTCGCTCGGAAACTTGTAAATCAAGCATGTCCACTCAAAGAGTAAAAATACATTTCTACTTCCTGTCTGAATTTAAAAAATAAAAGCATATCCTTTTCTTTTCTTTTTCTTTATCCCAAATTTGCTGTGACAGGAGAAGCATTTTAAATATGAAAGTAAAATCTGTGAACACATCCAGAAAATGTTAGGGAGCACTGACCTTTGTTTCATCTCTCTCTTTGGATAATAAAAGCACCAAATATCTAAAAATACTTTAAAATACTGGTCATAGTATCAATTATTCTTAATACGTCCTTCATATTTTTACTTTGTCAATAACACAGCTGCAATATTGCTTCTGGACAGCCATATACTGTAAAGTCACCTTTTTGTTTCTCTACTACTACAATCATCCAATAATTATCACTTATTGGTCTAAATAATTAATTATTATATTATGGTAAGGTGTAATATTTTGTTAAAGCTCATTATTTTGCGTGAAAATAGGTGTTGGAAGTCCACTTTGCACATAACAAGATAATGTGAGAAAATCATGACTTAATTGGACCCCAGAAGAGGAAATTCACATTTGGTTAAACCAATTATGTAAAACAGAAATAGATAGGTTTTTTTTTTTAAATCTGCGGCAATTATTTATGAAAATTGATCCCCCCTTCCTAAATTATACATTTTACTGGATTCATATCCTTATTGGCCAATGTCAGATGAGAGACAGGAATGCTAAAAAAAATTTTTTTTGTTCTCTTCCCTAAAATTATAAAAACAGACAACGGAGATATAGACAGAAAAAAGCTTGGACACACTCATTAAACTTCACATGCAACTTTAAATTTTATTTGAACCAAAGCGTGTGGTTGTTAATAAGCGAATCAACAGTCCAGTACACAAGTGTTGTTATTTGCTTGGTTTAGTAAATAATGTGTACATTAGAAAGTAGCTCCTCTAAAAGTTAATTGAACGCTACATGGCTATAATACATTGGGTATTAAACAAAGCTTATTCAGTTTATCATATAGTGAAGAATCACAGGAATAAAATGAAAATGTTAATACTTTTGCGCATCATCTACAGGTAAATGATGTACTATGCTGTATGAAGGTTCTTCTGCAAACAAGGCAAACACCGAAGGGTTCCCACGTAGCTCGCTCTCTAGCATTTCTCACTTATCACTCTGATGTCACTTAGCCATGGGCGGCTCCACACTGTAAATGTGCACTGGTAAGGCTGAGGAAGAGAAAGGATACACATTTATACGATCATGAAACAACTCATAAAACAGCATGCAGCATTACATCTTTGAGATTGTGTAGTCAAAGAGTAACATAGCATTGTTTTGTTTTTAAGAGGACATGATGGAGCGGGATGCCTTCTCTTAAAGCACTGTAAAAGACATCGTGCCCCCATTCCTCGTGTTCAATGATCATGATTATTTCATGATTAGATGTCATTAAAGTAATTAAATATTTTCATCTTTCAGGGGAATATCATTATTAAAAGACTAATGTTGAATTATTTGTTTAAAATTTAGTCATCTGGTTAAAAAGGATTTCACATTTTGGGTTTCATTATCATCATGAGATACATTTATTATACACCCTGTGAGATCATATAATAGAAGATAATATAATGGTATGATGTTATTGGTATTTTGGTAACAATTGTTGTTGCTTGGTGACAGCAACAAACAAAAACAGATGGCTCGAAGAGGGGGAAGTATAGATTTGTTTCACAATAGCTTGTGGTCTACTGTTGGAGAGAGAAGTACAACTCTACTGTAGGATGTTTAAACATTGTGTCTAATAACCCGCAATGGAAAAATAATCCCAAAAGCTGAGGTTGTAGCCCCTTAATAAAGTAATTACCCGGGCCATTTCTGGGTCTTGGTGGACGGTGCACACTTCCTCAGCTTGGTCCTTTCTGCAGGGAGTCTTCCCCATTTTCACAGTAATGACATACTTGGTGCCAGCAACCACCTGAAAACAGAAGCGGGTGGGTCATTCAAATACAGATTACGTGACTAATGATGTCGCAATCCTACAGCCTGATTTCAGCACAATACAAAATCAAGACCCTGCCAAATACAAAGCACACACCAAAAGAATGCATGTAAAATGGCAAACAACTGCAACAAAAGAGGTTCTTCTTTTCAGGTTCCTTTTATTTCCCTTTCTAAAGATAAGTAAAGAACACGTTTCCAGTTCATTTATTTATTTGAAAATGTGACCTGCAGCTGGTTTTAAAGAGACTGTACAACTGTTAATGCGGATTTGACTAGATTTTATGGTTATTTCTCTGCCAACCCCTACATTGATGTTAGGATCCATGCACATATAGCCAAATACACTGTTAAATAAAAGGTATATGCAGTTTAGGGGTGAAGATTAAGCCTTTATTCTGTATAAAGTTTGTACATACAATACAAATTAAATTTTTTCTTGAGATCTTATATTTTTTTATTTAATGTGTATTTTCTTTGTGTTACTCATATGAAGCTGCTGTAACAAGTGAAAAAAAAGTGAATTTCCCCAATGTGGGATCAATAAAGTCTATCTTACCTTACTTTACTGGGTAATGGGCGTTAAGGCCTGCTGTTAACTGGCGGGTGTAACACTGTGATATAACATGGCTGACATACAATCGGGATTATACTGATTTCATTAACTAGGCGGCTGTCTGTTGAGCTATAATAAGGTCCGGACATTCACAAGTCACTCACCTGTGTCTGAACCTTCACTACCTGTGCCACCTGGCTGAGGTACATGTCGTTGCTGCCCTTGTTGTGCTCGACGACGGCGAAGTTGAGGGCATTTTGAACCCCTTCGTCGTTCACGTCCGCGTCTCTAAAGCCCCCAACCAACGCCCCCAACCCGACGGCGAGCACCGCCGCAAGAACGGGAAAGACAGCCTTCCACATCATGTTTCAGCAACTGGATGACTCGACGCAACAAAGCGACACAACAACAACAACAAGAAGTCCCAGACGTTTCCTTCCCTTATATAAAGAACGACGTCAGGGCTGGTGAGGCGCGCTGTGAGTGACAGGTCCAGGAGCCAATCAGCAGCCTCTAAAACACAAACCCCCTCCTCCCATCGGATCTGGTTCTCAGGTCAGTCTGCGAGTGTGCTCGTTTTGTACGCCTATAAATTCCGTAGCTGCTACCCCCCCTTTTTCTTTTTTCCATTTGTGGAAATTCGAGTCACTCTTTTAAAAGGAGGTAATTAAAAGGTATTTGGAAAGCTGTTTGAAACCATAATGCATCCATGGTTGCAGCACATCGTGGTTGGATTTTGGCGTTTGTTTGTTCACAACAAGTTGCAGGAAATTAATCAATTTTCACCTTTGTCCTAGTGCATGTCTGAAAGGTAATCAGCTTTGGAACTGCGCAATGCTAAGACTTCAGGTTTTAAAGTAAGTAGGCTTTTACCACTAATACTCATACATTTGGCAAATTTAGTTTTTAATGTGTTTTTCTCTTTTTAAAGTATGATGATACTTTATTAAAGGGGAGGTATCTACATAAGCCATTTTTGCAGATTGTTCTATTTCTTTTAAAATATATTTGTTACATATACATTTATAGTGTATGTGCAGATCATAAAATGTAAATAAATAAATATTTGTACTGCTGTAATTATCTCCAATTGTTATATTTCTTTCCACACATTGCAGAGAAGCTTTCTTTGGCTTGGATGCTGTCCAACAGCGGCTTGTAGTAGGTAGCTCTGCCCTGGCAGCAGGGGGGATCCTGGCATACATAGCGCACAAGAGAAGACAAGTGAAAACTATTCCTCTTGGTGAAGGATGGTGGGGAGCAGGAGAGAAGCCACTGTCAGAGGATGAGAAAATCTACCCCTTTCAAGTGCAAACCTCAGATGAAGAGATTAAGGTCATTTTGAGCTGTTAAATAAACTTTTCATCACCAAATATCAATTTAAAAAGTAGTTTGAGTTGTTATAAGACAGTAACGTGTTTATGTTCAACAGGACCTCCACGAGCGCATTGACAGAACCCGCTACAGTGATCCATTGGAAGATAGCGGCTTCCAGTATGGCTTCAATTCCACTCATCTCCAGAAAGTGGTTTCCTATTGGAGACATGAGTTTGACTGGAAGAAGCAAGTTACAGTGCTTAACAAGTTTCCACACTTCAAAACTAAAATAGAAGGTACACACAGCCTCCCTACTTAATCAACAGGTTTTGCTGAGTAATCCCTTACAATTTAAATATTTGCCCACTATTTTTTTTTATCACGCCAATACAGGATTGGATGTGCACTTCATCCACGTGCGACCGTCACACCGAGAAACCCGAAAGGTTCGCCCTCTTATGCTCGTCCACGGCTGGCCTGGCTCCTTCTACGAGTTCTACAAGATTCTGCCACTTCTCACAGAGAACCAGGATGGTCTCGTGTTTGAGGTCATATGCCCGTCCATCCCTGGCTACGGTTTCTCAGACGCTCCTCACAAAAAAGGTTGATGATTATAAATATATGTGTGTGTGTGTGTGTAGTTCAGCTTGAGCAGCAGATGTTTACAGATGTCCTTTCCTGTGTCTTTTCAGGATTTAACAGCCTCGCCGCTGCCCGGATTTTCCTGACACTGATGGAGCGTTTAGGGTTCTCCCAGTTCTATGTGCAGGGAGGAGACTGGGGCTCCCTCATCACCACCAACATGGCACAGATGAAGCCCCAGTAAGACAGCAAAACAAGGCCTTACATGCTACAAGTTACCACTGCAGTGGAATTTCCACCACCCACGTGATTTTTAAAGGGAGCATTGTAACATTGTGAAACAGTGCTTGCAGTCAAATGACCAAAAAACCACTGACACTACACATTCCTGGAGAATAACAGATATTTTGTCAATAGAAAACCATGATAAAAAGTTGCATTTATAACTATAAATTGACACTTAATACAGATTAAAACATTATAAGACCTATAATTATTTTTTCAGGTGCGTGAAAGGACTCCACTTAAACATGATGATGTCAGGAAGGGGGTTCAAAGTCTTGTTGTCCCTCATGATTGGTCCCTATCTGCCCTTCCTGGTGGGCTTCAGTCGGGAAGATGTTCGCCGGTTGTTCCCGTTCTTTGAGAAGAATGTCTGGGAGATGTTGAGGGAATCGGGCTACTTACACATCCAGGCCACTAAACCAGACACTGCAGGTGGGGACATACACTGCCAGTTTGGATGATCATATTGACACTTGACAGGTCAAAGATGAACCCACTGAATTTGAGAGAAACCTCCTGAGACAAGCTGACTGTTTACAGTATTTTGTAATCTCAGTATACACATTTTTCAGCTCTTCATATATAATAAATTGTGTGTACAGGTTGTGGACTGAATGACTCTCCTGTTGGCTTGGCGGCCTACATTCTGGAGAAGTTCTCCACTTGGAGTGATTTCAAAAACAGGGATCTGGTGGATGGTGGGCTGGAGAGGTACAAGGCCTTTTCATTATTTGTAGCGCATAAACGTATATGGAGATAGTGTAATTAATTGTTAATTTGTTGCATTTGTGCAGAAAATTCAGCCTGGATGACCTCCTGACAAATGTAATGATCTACTGGACCACAGGCTCCATAGTCTCCTCCATGCGCTTCTACAAAGAAAACTTACAGAGTAACCTTGATGCAAGAGTGGATGCAAAGTATGTGGCTAAAAGTTCATATTATCAAAACGATGACTTTTATTTAGCTAATCTGACAACCTTATTATCCTATCATATTAAGACTGATAACGTTTTGTCTTTTGATTTAGGACAGGGATATTCGTGCCCACTGGATTTGCCGCCTTCCCTAATGAGCTGATGCACGTCCCCAAATCGTGGGCACAAATTAAGTATCGAAACATCTACTCCTACACTTTCATGCCTCGAGGTGGTCACTTTGCTGCCTTTGAGGAACCCCAGCTGCTAGCCAATGACCTTATCCAGTTTGTCAGAAAAGTGGAGAAGTCCTGATGTTAATGCATTCTCAGACCGTGGTGCAAATGTTCTTTATTATTGCTGTTGTGTTTGATTTTGATTGATCATTCCAAATATACATCCTTGTTACTAAGCTCACACTACAATCCATCTCACGGCTTGATTGCCTCCAAAATTGCAGCACTGTCAAAATCATTTTCAGGCTTTAATAAATGTAAACATATACACAGATGATACTGGCAATGTATTAAAAAATTGGATTAAAGAAAGCAATATAATAAACCTTAAACCTTTCAAGTTATGCAGATTAAAAATATATTGCACTGATATTATGTGTGTTGTCTTTAACGTCCTAAACAAACGTATCTTTTACGCAAAACATGTCATTCATGTACATTCTTCATACATATAAGCATTAACACACAATGTTCTAAGATTTCATCACCTTAACAAAACCTGGAGAACACGTTCAGTATTTCAGAAGAGTATAAAAACCGGTAATACACCATACTGCTGGTGTCGATGAACCCACTATTGTTTTAATTGACATACTTTTAATCATAAAGCAGAAAAACATTAAACTCATAATTCATTAAAATATGGACCACTCAATTCAAAAATCAAGTTCAGAAACCACTTATACCACCATTAAAATTTAATTTTAGCATACAAGCTCCAGAAAGAGCTCCAATACCTACGCTATGCACTCCACAACCTTTTGGGTCACTTGCCAAAGCCCTTGATAGTCATGGGTGCCTGGAACCACACATAATCCTGCCAGTCTGACCCCTCTGCCCTCGGTTCCTTACAAGTTTTGGGATCAGTAGACAGAGCAATAACTTTGTTCTTTACACGGGTTGGCACTTTAAATTGTAGTTTAGGGCGAAACCAACCAACGCCGCAATCCCTGTGAGCCAGCGCCAAGACCGTGGTGGGCATTAAACGAACAGGTCTGGTGTCGGACAAAAGGTCAGCCACGAAAAGAGTGCGGAAGAGTTGCCTTAAGCATGCGGACACTCGCAGGCATTGATCTCCACTAGCCACTACCAGAGCCTCCATGTTGATCTCATACAGCTCTTTGGGGAGGATGAGGGAGCCGCCCATTAGCAGTAGCACACGGGGAACCCTGCTAAGGGAAAATAGCACTTCCAGCTGCTGCAACACCTCCTCCAGCTCCTGAAGGGTCTGCTGACACTTACGCCAGTCCATGTCTGCTGACTGCACTGGCCTCCGACTCACTGTGTCTTTATCCTGAAAGCAACAAACACTTTTATTTAATCTCAAATCCACAACATTTCATCATTTATGAAGTATTAGATGTGCATTTGATCATTTTTTCCTATTCACCTGCATCGACGCTTGCTGTTTCTTCTGAGAATACACCAGCTGGTCATACGTCATGGGTAGCTGCTGTCTCTGATAGAGAATGCACTTGAGGATCTCGCTGACAAAGCGGCAGCAGCCTTCCTGAGTCACGGTGCCGGGGAAGTCCACGTTCACATGGCCTTCCTCCTGTGCTCTTCTCATCACCTCAGCATCCCTGTCCTCTGTGTTACTCTGTTGTTTACTGGCGGTCACGTTGGAATCCTGCAAACTTCTCTGACCAGAAGTGCCCTCTTCTTGGGTGTTATCTGTCCAAATGGAGGAGCAGAATAATGTCATTAGGGTGAGCAATGGAGCTGTCTTGCTCAATTTTAGCTAGTTAATGTTAATGAAATCTAGCAAGGCCAGTGTTCTAATAAAGCCAGCCACTGTCCCCATTTTCCCTCTAAACGTAATATATGGCAACTGTCTGTCAGTGGTGGAGGAATAAGGCTGCTCCTTTATTTAAGCATAAGTTCTAGGCTACTGTAGAAACATGGTGGACCTCTCTGTAGATAACAACTGCCTCTTCTAAAGGTAATAAAAAACACAATAATTCTTATTTTCAGGTGATTATACACTAACACAAACATACCTATAAATATTGTATTCACTTTCTGCCAATAGATCCTCTGAAATGTTACACACTGGACCTTTAACTACTCATAATTCAGAATGACCCTTTACAGAATACTGGATTAATTATTGAAGGTGAACATGAAAGAAGACTTGTCTGGTCGAGGTGGGGCCAATTTTAACTACTTTTTATACTGCTGGATAGTTTAATCCAGAAATAGAATCACATTTTCTTGTTGACTTTAATGTTTTGAAGCAAAATATTCAATATATTCAGTTTACAACTATAAAAACCATCACAATGTAGACTCTGCAAGGTTGTAGCTTTTGCTTCACAAACATCAATGGTTGATGACTAATCAATTAACAGAATAATTGTCTGAGCTGTAAACTATTGCAGTTAAACGTAAAATGTAATAAGATGGAAACACTTTGCTTTCCACAAGTGCCACCTCAGGATATCACGTTTGCCTTAAATAAATAACTATATAAGAACTATTAGATAGATAAATTATATACTTACAGAACAAAAGACCGTTTTAATTTGTTCCCCCACTCTCCAGAATGAAAACACTATCTATTTCACACTGCAACCACTGTGTTTGACAACCTGTCAGCTTCACACGTCTGGAAACGTGCAGGCAAACGAGTAACGTTGAGTATCCACAACGTTACGTTACCTACCGGGAGGGATGTTTGTGGAGGGCATGGTGGAGTTTTCCTTGTCTTCCGTGTTGTTCCCACTGAGCTCCCCCGAATCCGGTCGGTGTTCAGGGGACGCGTCTCTTACTTCGCCGGTGTTTGTCGCCTTTAAACGTGTTTTCACGGCCTCCGCAGCGGGTCGGTGTGAATGTGAGTCGTCGGGAACATTTTGTAAGAGTTTAACGTTACATGTCACATTCGCCTCCTCCAGGCTGCCGTCGTCTTTATCCGACGAAAACGAAAGGCACCTCTTTATCTCATCGCCCCCGCTGTTAATACTCGACTGAACATCCGCGTCTTCAGAGTTTGATGTCGGTATAAATATATTTGGGTCTTCTGCCATACTTTTGAATGTCCCCGCCGGGTGTACTCTGCACTGCATCATGGGAAGCGTGGGTCGACGGCAATGCTGAGTTCACGTACCGTGTGGAAAGACTCGTAAAACAAGCTTCCACTTTGGAAATGATGGTGGATTGGCTCTTTTGTGCTCATAAATGACTCAAAATGTGTTTATTCATGAAGGCTGTCTTTGTAGACGTTTCTTTTATGGCTTGCTGAATTTTTAGCACTTTTATTTTGAACGAGACTTTAAATTAAGTTTTTTTGTAACAGCTAAAACAGGCCGTAACAACCACCCTGCCACTAGAAATATATTTCGCAAATGTAACAGCGTGAATCACAATCTTATAAAACTTTTCTGATAATTTAAGTCATTGTTTATCGGCCTAAAATCTGTTTGACCCATGACACAAATAAAGAAGTTTTGGTTGTGTTTGAAGTTCTGCTGTCGGTTTTTTTCCGGCCGGACTTGAATGCAATATATTGATTCAGACATTTCAAATGAACATTAAATATTAACCACATTAGATACGCATGGATTTTAATGTTGATGTAATAAGCAGAAACTCAAAAAATACGTGATATTTTACCCAGTTATTGACAAAACCTGCAGGTAATTTATCCTGGCAGGAGATCATCTGAGTGCAATGTTAAGAGATAACAAAACAATCAAATCAGCCTAGAGCTGTGTAACAAAAGGGTATTTTAAAAACAACTTTTTCTTTGGGGCATGGTTTATCGATCCCCATTTTGCACGCCGCAGTGGCCAGTTTGTGTAGTGCATCGAGAAACTGAGGACAGGCCCCAGGTGTGATAATTAGGTGTGAAAAACGCTGCATTGACGTTGATGTGGATGTCTTTCAAAGAGGGAGAAGACAGGCTGGGAAACGTGTTCTGTCTGATTTAGATTAATAATGGCTTCAGTGAGAGTAGCGGTCCGAGTCCGTCCATTGAACAGAAGGTGGGTAGAATGGCTCTTTATATATATATATATATATATTTTTTTTTCTCAAGCTTTCTAAAAAATGAAACGAAACTCATTCACGTTCACTTTGCCCACAGAGAAAAGCAGTTATCCTCGAAGCTGATAATTCATATGAAAAGGAACACTACATCTATTCATAAGGTATTTGATCACATAATACAATTACACTAACTCATAATGCAGTAATGGAGTTTATTAAGACTGGGCTGTGCATTTGAAACTCTAGCCTGCACCTATTCGAGGCGATGAGCTCAAAGGGCGAGGGAAGACCTTTTCTTATGACTTCTCATATGATTCAAGTGACAGAGGAAGCCCAACATTTGCATCCCAGGAGAGGGTATGTGTATTCTGATGGCTCCCATATGTTTCAACCTTTTGCATAACTTTTTTTTGTACTATTGGTGTATCTGTCAAACAATCCTGTGTTTCTTTTAACATAACATTTTAACAAACCTTTTCTCTGCCGCTTTAGATTTTTCATGACTTGGGGTCTGATGTCCTGAAGGCTGCATTTGAGGGCTTTAACGCCTGTGTGTTTGCCTATGGCCAAACAGGCTCAGGGAAGTCTTACACCATGATGGGCCACACAGTAAGAACTTTGCTCAGCTTTCTCAGCACTGTTACTGAGGTTAAAGACTCATTTTACCTTTTTATCTGGAGTGGTGTCACAACATTGTCAACGCTGTTGAGCTTACATTGCAGAATACCCCAGTAGTGCTAACCCATTGTGCACATACCACATGTTAGAAACTGACTGATGGCAGCCTCATCAGACGTCCCTCCCTTTCTCTCAATTTATCTCCATGTTTCTCCCCACTAATCAGAAAATGTGATGAGTGCAGCAACCAACAGCTTTTCTCTCCTCACCTTGCACAGCAATGGAAATTTCACGTTACCAGTGAGGTTTCTGCTTGTCTACCAGGAGACTTGTGCAAGGTCATCAGCAGAGCTGGCTGTCAACATCCCAGATAATTATATATGGCTCTTAATGCTCACTATCTGTTACTTTGTAATTAAAACAAGAGGGCATGCAGCTCAGAGTGGAATTGCTTTTATGCTTCAGTAACTCCATATCAGATGAGCTGTTGTTTGTGTTGTTCAGCAGTCCTTGCATGTGCTGAGTTGTGGTCACAGCATAGACATAGACACCCAAATTAAGAGAACATAATGGGAGCAAAATGAAATTGTCATTTAAAAGTACATGATGAGTAACACCGTCATTTTGTAATAAGAGTTCTAAATGTGTAAGTTTTCTCCTTTCTTAATGTGTCAGGATGATAAAGGTTTAATCCCACGGATCTGTGAAGGCTTGTTCTACGAGATAACTCAGAGAAGCACGAGTGATGCCGTGTCATTCTGTACAGAGGTCAGGTAAGAGACCATCATACATACTGTATGGTGATGTTTCGTATCTTAAAGTCATTCTGCAGGACTGTACATTTAATCAATCATTTAAACTTTCAAACCTGATGAAAATATTAAAAACCTGCAGCAGGCGGTGGAAAGGAGTGCACACAGGGGAAAACAAGTGTACCTTGTGCTACTTCCAGCTGACAGTGACTCAGGCCTCCAGTCAGAGTTAAACATGGCAAAGATAATTCATTTTCCGGTTAATGACTTTAGTTTAGTTTTTTCTTATGTGTTTTGCCCCTGAGGACCACTAAACATTAAAAAGTTTACCACCTAAAAAAACTAGAGTCCAAAACCTCTCAATTATGTTGTTACTTACATGCAATATTTAACCTAGTGGCTACTGGTACTGTCTTAATATTGACATCATGGACAAGCAGGTAAAGGCATTAATTTTACTGAGCAAGAACAGTTGTATAACTTCAGAGAATTGTATGACCTAACTGTAATGCAGGCCTTTTAAAACCAGAAAATGACAACATTAAGGCTTTATTACTACAATCAAATAATAATCAAAATCCCAGATGATATCTCTTCTCATCACAGTATCTGTTTCATGGTTACACGTTCCAGCTCTACTCCTAAATGATAATGCTGGGAGATTAAAAAATTAGGATTTTAAGCTTATCAAGCAACTGTGAAACAATTATTTTGCCATTTGGTGTCGTGATGCTGCTGGCACACACGAGGTACATGATTTCATAATGATTGTGAGCAATTACATGAGCAATAAAACTGATGGGAATGTTCAGGTAGGATGTGTGTAAGACTCCTGGCGTGAATCTGTTTCTGAGGAGAGTCCTTTCTTTTCTTCTTCAGTAGAACAGCATTGATCATGTCCCACTTTCTAAGGTCGTCGTCTCCATCGCTTGCCCATGAGTGAAACCTCTGGCTTTGTTTTGTTTTTGTTGTGTAGGTAGCTGCACATTGATCCCTCCATTGTGAAACATCATACATTTTGTATCCGTCAGGAGGTGATGGTAGTTGCAATCTAATCTCTCCCGTTATTGTTATTGTAATAATGGCAGCTTTGCCTGTAGTCATTTAGAAACAAGCCAATATTGTAACCTGTTTGATTTTTTTCAGTGCTGTGCCAGAAAACAACCTGCATGGCTACAACCACAGGATATGGTCTTATGCCTTTTCATTACTGTCACGCTCTCATAAAGCCTAATTGCTCCATTCCTTGCATTGTTTTTAAAACAGCCACTCAGAGTAGTCCTTTTGCTTTTTGTACACACCCACCCACCGCAGGGTTGATTGAAGTGCTCTGCCGAAACCTACTTTGCATATTTCTGTTTATTCATTGCCAGTGCAAGCTGAACAATGCATGCACAGTAATTTGGCTTTAAACCTACTGTGCATTTCTTTTCATAGTAGATAGTGAATAGCAACTTGTTTTGTTCTCATTTGGTGCAATGCCATTCACATATCAACACTGAAACCCTTCATTAATTTGTGCCATTATGGCTTTGTGTGCAATCTTGGATCAAATTTTGCTTTTGTGTTTCTGTCTTGGCACCAGCTATTTGGAGATCTATAATGAACGTGTGCAGGACCTTCTCCAGAAGAGACATGCACCCACAGATGGTGGAGGCTTGAAAGTGAGAGAGCACCCCAGGGATGGACCCTATGTAGAGAGTAAGACAGGTTTCATTCTCCACCTCTGTATCCATTTCAGTTGAATTGTATAAAATTCAGAAAACATAATACAGAAAATAAATCCCCTATGTGTAGATCTGTCCAAGCACTTGGTACGCAACCACAGTGATATGGAGGACCTGATCATTCTCGGCAATGCCAACCGCACCACAGCCAGCACAGGGATGAATAATGTCAGCAGCCGTTCCCACGCCATCTTCACCATCAACTTCACCCAGGTCAACTGTAGTTCTTTAAATGTATACCTGCTGCTGTGTCTCGCGTTGCCAGTTTAAACTGAAGTAAACATTTTTTAAAGTTTCCCTGAAAACTCTGGATGTTAGCAAAGACTATCCCTCGAGAGCTCCAATTAGCCTTGTTTATCTGTTTTTGTGTAATGATCATTTTTAACATGTTTTTTTTTTTTTCGATCTTCAAAGGATTTTTTTTTTTTCCATCATAAGTAGCACTTTTGTCGTGATCCTGCCTATGTACCTAAGTATTCCTCTGTGATGTTGCCTCTTTTGAACTAAAATAAGACTCGGTAATGTTTTGGTATGCCGCAGGCCCGGTTTGATGCGGAGTTGCCACGTGAGACGCTGAGTAAGATCCACCTGGTAGACCTGGCGGGCAGCGAGAGAGCTGATGCCACGCGCGCCACCGGCACCAGGCTGAAGGAAGGTGCCAACATCAACAAATCCCTGGTCACCCTGGGCAGTGTGATCTCAGCTCTGGGTAAATGACAGTTACAGCGTGACTGACACACCGTGACAATCCATCTGTCTTCAGTATTGAGCCAGTCAGCTCAATAATAGATTGTGAATAATGACTGTTTTCTATGCAAGAACAGCCACTTTGTTTGCTTATTTAAAATTAAACACAGTATATGGGTTGCATTTCTTTGCAAGTAGATGTTTGGTTTCATTCCAAATTTTCTTTTCATCATTTTCAGAGAAACATTGACTGTTCTGAGCCCTTTGTTCTCAAAATGGATCTATAGAGCTTTAGGATGAAACATTTCATGTGTTACTGGAGCTTTACAGTTTCTCTGAGTCAGTGTTTTTCTTTCTGTGTGACCTCCTAGCTGACCTTAGTGTGGGCGGACAGTCAACAAAAAAGAAGAAGCAGATCTTCATTCCTTACAGAGACTCTGTGCTGACATGGCTTCTAAAAGACAGCCTGGGTGGAAACTCTATGACGACTATGATAGCAAGTATGTACTGTAATAATCAAGTCTGCTGACAGCAAGACATTGCAGGCTGTTTCCAGAAAGTCTGTGTCACCCCTTTATGACCTGTTCTTGAAAATGTTTTTAATAAAAAAAATTGAAGAAGATAATGATAATAATCCTTCTTTTTCCTGTTTTATCTCCTCAACCTTTGCACATTCCTACCTGGTGACCTCTCGTGGCAGCCGTCTCTCCTGCTGATGTGAACTACGGTGAGACCCTGAGCACTTTGCGCTACGCCAGCCGAGCTAAAAACATCGTCAACTCTCCCACGGTGAACGAAGACGGCAGCGTAAAGGTGATCAGGGAGCTGCAGGCAGAGGTTACCCGGCTCAGAAGGCTGCTTGAGGAAGCTAACCAGGTCCTGCATATGTTCAAGCTCAAGGATACAATATGTATGATGACAGTCTTTTTCCCTTAAAGTTTATATTTTAGGTTGGGCTGTCTCTTTTCACTATTACTCCAGGTTTCCCGTGGGGAGATGTCTTCCTCTGTGAAGGTAGAGGAGGAGCTGAATCTGAATGAGGGAAAGGTGAGTTATCCTCTGCCATTGGAAAAGGGATGTTTTGATGTTTTCTTCTGTAAATAATACACCTGCTGTTCTCCCCCAGGTTCTAGCACTGACCAAGGAGTGGACCAGCAAATGGGGCGAGACTCAGAGTATTCTGAAGGTACAACAATGATTCATGTATTTAAACTGTCTTTAACTCCAGTTACTGGACATAGCCTTCTGCAAAAAATACATTACACAGGCTCCACAAGTTTAAAAAAAAGTTTTTAACATTTAAAGATCAACCACACTCAAATTTATGGCTTTTTAAAAAAGTTATTCATATAAATCTGATGTATTTCTTGCCTATTCTTTGTCCCTTACATGTATGACTAAGTGCAGCAGATGGCCCTACATGTGCCTGAGCTGACCACAACACTTTTAGCCAGAAGCAGTAGGGTTAAGCTAGAAATAAGGAGTTAAAAGGAGTGTTGTGCTTTTCTTTTAACACACGGATAAAGAGACCAAGTGAGCCTTTGTGTAAATATCCTGCTCTTTAACATCAGTTAATTTGACTCTCAAAAGCTCGTGAGAATGTTTGTTTGATTCTTGTACTTGAGCTGGAGGATAACAAGACTAACTGGAGACAACCGCTTCCAGTTTGTTGTAGACCTTTAATCAGACTGTATTAAAAAGACAACTTGCAGTAAAACCCTGTAGTTTGACATCTAAATGTTTTTTTTTCTTTCTTTTGTACAGAGTTGGATAAACATTTCTGAATAAGATGTGAGGCACCCTTAAGCAGTTATATTCTTTGGAGCTTTGTTGTTTCTAGACAGACAATAGTTTGTTATGTTCCCTTGTTGTTTATCTTTTTGTTACTTACTTTGTTTCCTTTGCCCCCATTTTCAATTTAGTGATATGTCATAACACATTTTCCAGTCCAACAACAGTTATAGTTCATGTCATTTGGAACTTGGTACAGAAGGATGTATGTAAGTAAAACAGAAGGCTACAGAGTACATAGTGTGAAGGTTTGGTCTATTAATTTTAATAGTAACAATCAATAAAGCAGCAAGCTCCCAGCAACAGCCTTGACAGGGGTTGCCGCTTGCAGTAAGGACATCCTACCAGCTGGTGTCACTGCAAGTCTTGTGAACAGCCACAACCACTTCATGGAGTGGAAAGGGTAATGAGAGTAGAGTCAACCTGGCATTTAAATTTAATTTTCCATCTATTTAGATTTAAATGGCATCCAAAAGCAGAGTTCTTGTAATGATCCTAAAAGTTAGTGTGCGACAGTGTTTGGGGATTCTGACAAAGGGATACAGAACAGACGTGCCTTCTCCTTCAACCCAATATGGTTTTCTCTAAGGCTGGGACAGCGTGGCAGCATCTTTTGCAAGACCCCAAGCTGCAAGAAAGGAAAAAAAAATGCCAGTGTTTGCCAACTCAGAGTTTACACTGAACACTTTTCCTCTGTTGAGTTTGTGCCCAACCTCCCAAATAACACCAAATGTCATCTGTTTGGGACTCATCGTGTTCAGCCAAGTAGCCTGTTGCATTATGCATTGAACTGTGAAGCGTGCCAGTCATGAAAAGTATGAGGTGACTACTTGTCTATATTATACATGCTAGCATTAGCAGTTTTTGCATGGGTTTGCATGTTGATCTGACTGTTGAAAGATGTCTGAATAGATTTGTGTATTTCCAACATTGATCCTGACCCAGACTATGAGGGCAGATTGCTTTTATGCAGCCACACATTGAAGGAGACATTGTGTAAGGAATACCCTACATATTGTGTGTCTGCTATATACGTGTACATTGGATAATTAACATTCTAATTCTGTGTGGTAGTTAGCAGGTGACATTTAGTGGCTCGACAGGCCTTTACTCATGACAGTGTATTGGAACTCATTAGCAGCTGTCACTGCTCCTAATTAAGAGGTCTTGATTATTGACATGTGGAACTTTCGTTTCGGACCGTCCGGCATATTAATTAGTGTTTTGTAAATCTGTTTGCATCTTCAAGCGGTGATGACTTTATGCTCAGAGGCAACATCGTCCATCTCTGCTGGCCTTGTTTAGAGCTGTGCCCACCCGTGTAGAAGCACCTGTTATGATGCATGATACAATGTGACACAGAGGCGAAAAGGCCACTATACTGGTGACCGGCAGGCACACTGGTGTTGCCGAAGCTCTAAGTGTTTGATGAATGACTTTATGGATTTGACATTTGTCTTCCTGTGAATTTGCATTCTGCCTGTGTGAAAAATGATAAGTGGGATTCATGCATGGGATGCTGAACAGAGTTAGAATTAGAGGTGGTGTCTTTGCTCAGTTCAGCCCATCCTGGCCCAGTTTGAAGTTTCAAAATTCAGCACATGTACTTATTGCATTGATGTAAATCTTTTTTCATTTAAATTTTTAAACTAATGGCCTTAAACATGCTTTAAAAAGACTCTCATATAATACAACCTCCATGTTCAAGTGTATGGTGTTATGCATACTGCGTGTTCTCTATCTCAAGCGCAGGTTTTTTTAAATTAAGAGCAGTCTTCAGTCCCAGTCCTGAAGTCTCATATATTTTGTTTTAATTCAGTCGATGCTGTTGCTGAGAGCTAGATGAAAATTTCTGCTCGGCCGTAAGGAGACAAGTTGACCAAGAGCGGTGTAAACAGAATTTTGAATTCTGTATTCAAAGCAGATTTAGAATGCAAAGTTATTCATCGTCAGCTTCCCAGATTGGTTACAGGGCATGTGGGAAAGAGAAAGTAATTAATATGAGATGGATTCCACAGCAGCCTCTTACCAGACAGAGACGGCAACAGATTGAGAGAACAAAAAAGGCAGGAAGAGGGTAAAGTGAAATGTTGTTCTACTGCAGGGGTATTCGCGCGCACACACAAAGATTTGTGTGTAGTTCTACTCTTTCAGGTCCCCTTGTAACACAGCGTGGTGGGAGGAACCTTCATTTCAGTAAGATAAAATGAACCACAGTGTTTCTTTGATCCTAGTAGTCTTTGTATTTTCCAAACATGCCGCAATCAGCACAATGACACAACCTAAGCCTTGAATGCTCGGAGCCTGGCTCTGTTTAAAGGGACAGTTTGCCATGTTTTTATATGCATGTCCAATCAGTGTTGGTGGTAAATTTAGTCAATTGTAGAGTTAATTTCCTCAGTGCATGCTTTATTGATAGAGAAAACTGAGTTCTTCTGCTCTCTGAGGCGTGCCGGCAGGGTCTACATGTACCAGGATGCATTGTGCGTGAGCTTCAGATGCCCACGCGCACTGAGCGAGCTAAGTTAGATGCTGGTTGTTAGTCAGAATTACACAATGTGGCCAAGCCAATGAATAACTGCAGTTTCACCATTTTCTTTTTCACACTATATCTTTACCTTCAAGCTCCAAGCTGAAATAGTCTGTAGTTCTGGCTTGACACCAAGTACACCACTGTAATAGGAATGTATTAATTCAGTTGATGCATATACCATCAACACTGATTGGACGTCCACATAAAACATGTCAGATTTTCCCTTTTTTAATGTCAATTTACCTCACATTGTCAGCAGTTATACACCATATTTGGTCATTATAGCATTTCATGACCATTATGTATTATTTTGGCCGCATACCATTACCTCCAAACTAGATTAACTTTTTTAAACAATTAAATGCATGAAATGTTATTATTTTGTTATATTTGATGTCATCCATGCCTACTAATCTGCTCAATTGGGCCCTAAAATAAACTTTAATGTATTGGAAAGATAGCAGTCCGATTTATTTTCACGTTCTTTCAACAAATTGAGAAAAATTATGCAAATCTGTCAAATCTCAGCATATATTGTGCGAAATAACGAACATTAACTGACATGAGTTGCAATGGGACGCGTAGCAGGAGTATTTGTTTGATCAGGAGCCCAGAAGTGCTTTTATCAGGTTGAATCACTCAAGTTTTTAACCACGAGTTGCATTTATGGCAACAAAATAATGGCTGGAGTGCACATCAAGCTAATTACACAGCACATTCATATTACAACTTGAACAACATCTTTGAGATGTCTTGAGATTCTGCTTTTACATGTGACACGCACACAAAAATAACATAAAAAGCGTGTGTAAGAAACAGAAACTACTGTTAATAAGATGCCAATTCTTTTCTTCGAGTTATAATGGAATATAACCAATCACTACAAACAAAAGGCTTCATGCCATTTTAAAAACTGGCCATGTAATTGGCTGTCCCTTTTTTATGCATTATTCATTTTAACTTTTATAAAGAGCAGCGATCTAGAATATAAATACAGCTCTTTCAAGGAAATTAACCTTTTAATGTAACAGAGTTCAAATGCAGAAGTTTTTCTCTTTTTCTGCATCCAGTACCTGCTTATCTGTTCTATTAGTAAGTTGCTGCACTTCACAAGGCTGATGTGCAGTCAGGAACGAATGATAGGTTGTCCTAGTATGGCAGTTTTTTGAAATGCATATTAACCAAGTGGGAGACCTGAACTGTCAAAAGCTCTGAGAAAAAATCCATTAAAAATTCTGCCCAACCACAGATGATGGCTTTTAATGGAAGCCTAAATACTGCCCGAGCCTGGCTGCTGGTCTAGGCCACAGTTAATTACAGTATGTTCGCCAGCTGCCTCAATCTGAAAGCAGACTTTTTTCTTTTTTTACTCATAGCACAGACTAACTGACTGGGTGTGGTGGAGAGCAACTTTCTCTGGTATGTGAGGAGAAAATAAGAGGATCTCATCTGTTCCTGTTGTCTGAGGAAAGTGACACAGTGCATTAATCTGCCAGGCTGCTCCTCACCTCTAATGAAGTCTGTGAAGAATCCCTTTTAATTAAGTGCAGGGGCTGGGGTCGATGCCTCTCCTTCTTCATTAGAAGAAAGGATTTCTCCCGTCTCACAACTGCCAATGAGCAAGGTGCTGCTGCTGGTGGACACGTCTCTCACTTCACGGTCCAGTCTATATGAAAGAGAGTAGGAGGAGGTTGAAAGAGAAGGGGGAACCTAGTTTATGCAGAGTGTTGCCTCTGAATCCTCCATATGTGAGATTTTCTGCTCTGCCTCTTGGGGAGGTACTTATGATAATCCATGCCAATGTGAGGCATTAGTCCACCAGCTTAACAGAAGAATACTCCTGATAGGGCCACTCATACTTGGGTAGACTCCTGGGTTATTGAACCACAGCCTTTGCCCTGAGAGGAAAAGGTTAGCGGCCATAAACACTTGCCTAGAGAGTTAAGTTTCCCTATATGGCTTAATTTAGTGTGTCTTTTGAACCTAGCAAGTCATCCAAGGCTAAGTGTTTCATTTCTTGTTAAATAATTGGCAAATTAACTGCTCAAGAAACTCATTCTGTCTCCAGCCTGTCTCTTTTGGTTTCTTAAAATCTAAAACTCATACCTCGAATTATAATTAGAAATAATACTTAATTACATTTTATATAAAGTTCAAAATATCGGCCCTTGACAGACGCATGCTATAAGGTGGTGTGACTCATGCTTTTACATTTCCTCAGCAACAATTCTTGAACCCAATGAAGCGATTGTATGGAGCAGATCAGGGGTTTAATTGTGGCCTTTATCTGCTTTAGAAATGTGCTTTTAAAGATTAAATCAATTTCTCTTCTTATTGCATTTCTGTAGAGAGGTGCTGTAACACCATTAAGTATATATTTAGCAGGGGTTTTTGGACAAGCAGAATGGATTAATGCATTAATTTCTGTTGCTGTATGTGTCACTATAGTGCGTTATAATGTGAAAAATGGACATTTAAGTGTTATTCAGCATTTGCTACTGAGATTTGGGATTTATGCAAGAACATGCCATATTGAGTGGGTGAGAAATTGAAAATGCCCCTATGAAATAGTCTTATAATGACTGACTTTACTGTAGTTATTCACTCTCCTCAACAAATAATACACTATTTATGGAAAATAAATGGCCGGGATGGGAAAAGGGGAAAGAGAATTTGGGGAGGGCCCATTCACTGGATGTTTTCAGGCCCCCCAGCCATTTTAGTGGGCGGTCCTGGTTGTAGCGTTATGTTTAAAGCTGCAGTAGGTGACTTCTATAAAAATAACCATATTTTCTTAAACTTTCATTATATCCTGACAGTAGTACATCAGACAGATTTTCTGTGGGGGGAAAAAATCTGCTTCTTTTGTCTGTGTCTGTGTTTAACATCCTGGGAATGAGACTCAATCAACTAATGACATTTTTCTAAACCTACTGCAGCTTTAAGCAATAGCATGCTTTCCACTGTAAGGCACTGGAATTCACACCTCTTTCAGGCACATTGTAAATGACATGGAACTAGCGGAAGTTTGTTGCAGTTATCTAAAGTTGACATACTTTACAAGCTTGGGAGTATTTTAATAGCAGCATACAGTGTTGGTAGCTATGTATCAATAAAGGCAATGGTGCATGGTATACAACCCGTGTGTGTATATGGTTGTGTGTGTGTGTGTGTGTGGGTGGGTGGCGGCACTGCGCCTGTTTCGCTGGCTGAACACAATGTACAGTTTGACTCTCGCCACGATAATCTGAATGATTTATGGCATCTCTCTTGCCGTTAGCCACTCTGCTACTTCATGGCGACACATGGTTGGAACGACGCTATTCTGCTTGGCCTTCAGGCAAGGAAGAGCAGTCATAAAGAATTCAGTTTTCTGCTGGTTGCCATTAAATGTCTGTCAGCCTTTTTATTTCATATTGTGTGCCATTCCAGCTACAGGCTATTGAATTTGATTTTTTTTTCTCATGGTATATTTTTGTGTGTACTATAGGAAGAGGCTGTGGCTCTGAGGAAGGAGGGGAGTGGAGTGGTCCTGGACTGCCAGTTACCTCATCTGATAGGAATTGACGAAGACCTGCTCAGCACTGGAATAATCCTGTATTATTTGAAAGTAAATAGATCATTTCAACTTCATACGATTCCCGAAGTCTCTATATTTTTCTAAAATCATTTCGAGGTCCAATGCTTTCGTTAATTGCTCTACTTGTCAAACAACAGCTTGCATATTGTATTATGATCTTTTAATCTTCACTATAGGAGGGCAGAACCCTGATTGGGAGTGACAAAGCATCATGCAGTCAGGATATTGGTGAGTCACAGTCACTATACTGTATCCCCCACTGCTGTGTTATCCATTGGACTAAAAATAATCAGGATTTCTTTGTATGCTTTCATATTTAATTGTATTGTAGTGCTTCATGGGCCTGGGCTCCTCGGTGAACATTGTGTGCTTGAGAACCATGCTGGGGCCGTGACTCTGATCCCTCAGGATGGTGCACTGTGTTCAGTCAATGGCTCTGTGGTAACTGATCCCTGCCAGCTTACTCAGGGTAAGCATTTCTGCAAAGCTAATATGCTTCTGATATTCTTTAATGAACATTGGTGGTGGGGTGGTGGTGGGGGGGGGGAGCATGGCATGTCTGTAATAATGAAGATTTCTCTCTCAGATTCCCAATTATTTGGCTAGTGGGAGGCAATAACACTTTCATCCATTTTGAATGCAGTTATATGAGATCACTGCATCACATCTGCAAATGAAATCCACTTTATGTCCCTGGTTTCCCCATGGCGGTGCACTTGGGGCATGAGTGGCTTGTGAACACAGCTCTCTACAGGGCAGATGCCATTTCTCTTACTAAACATTTTGAAGGGCGAGAGGCCCCGGACAAAGCTCCAGACAAAGCTCCAGGCCCTCCATTTAATTGGCAGATGGAGTTGATAGGGCCGAAGTGGGCAGCAAGAGCATTAACCTTTCAAAGGACAGAGCCAAGCGGAGCTGAAACTCCTGCCCCCCCTGAACAGACCCTGCTTGCTTGGGCTGGGAGCTTTTCCTGCTTACTGCTTCCTCATCCACACACTGCTTTGCTTTCCAGAGATAAAAACTGCACACAGAACCAGGCAGCGCAAGGGCCTGGCTACGCTAGTCTCTTTTATAGCCATTTCAATTTATCCAATATCCCCTTCAGAAACGGCTGCATCTGAAGCTATTTTCTTGAACAAATGATAGTAATTTTCAGCCCAACAGCAGCTGGATTCCATCACAGGCTGCCCTCTCAGGTGCTTTGTCACTCGTCAGAAGTCATTAGTAGTAGCAAGATTAGTATTTGCTGTGCTGAGAGCGGAGGAGGTGATGGAGAGGAAACCTCAAGAAAATCTGTGGATGTGGCCATAAGGGTTTGAGTCTGATATATATAAACCCTAATATCACTCCAATTCTATAGCTTTACAAGACTTCTCAAGTTTCCTTGGAGCATTTTCCTGGGTAAATCATCCCCCTGGTCTAGGTCACTGCCAATCACATTGGGGATTGTGTTCTTCATGGCAATTCATTCACTTTACCTCAGCAGAGGAAAATGTTGGAGAACTCTTGTGCTGTTTGTCAACTTTTCCCCAAGTTCACCGCAATCCCACAATGACAGGAAGATTCCCATGGCCAAACTCTTTTGCTCCTCACCTTTTTAATGCATTATAGATATTGTGCTGCACCTCAAAGTGTCCTGGCAGACATTCAGCACTATTACTGCCACTTGCGTCTGTCTTGGTACACATCACATTTAGCCTCTGCCAGTCTTAGTCAGTGTAATACATAATTCACTGGTTGGTGCAGTATTTTTTATACCTAATGCTAAAGTTTAATCTGGTAATTGAGTTGGTGATTTTGCCACTTTTTTTTCATGCTTTTCCTCTTCGGTTCTCTCTAGGTGCCATCACACAGCTAGGAAGAGGAACCATACTCCGGTTTAACCACCCGACTGAAGCTGCCCAGCTCAGAGAGAAACGCCAGGTACCCAAAACCTCCACAGACGAGTCCTGTTGTTGTGTGGTACAATTTTGCTGTTTTTGTAAAGCTTTTGTAAAGCCAACCGCATTTTCTGCAGGTAACTGTAAAATGTCTAGCTCTGTAAAAACAAGTCAGGATCATATACTTTGTTTCCATAACTACCAGCTGTAATACCTTCAGCAAACATTGCTCATGTTGAACTCTCAGTCACACTTCACTCAACATTAGAAACTCCACAACAGCACCACCAGTGTGATCCATGCAGATTCTTTCTGATCAGAATAAGAACTACTCCCCTTTTTCAGCTGCTACTGCTTTTTTTTTTTTTTTTTTTTTTTGCCCGGTTAGCATGAAACTCTACTTATTCGTTCTCATTAATTGTCTCACAAGAAAAGCGGCAGACCTGCACATTGAGAACAGTCTCCCCACAATGTTGAACTGTTTTCAACCTTAGAAAAGCTTTCTGCTCCTCCTGAAAGGAGGCCAGGTGCAGCAGCTTTCAATACTGGCTGCTTTTCGTCCAGCTTGCAACAGTTCCCTCTTGGCTTTCATTTACTTTCATGTGTTTTTAAAACAGCATTGTGTGAATGCGCCCTTTTCTCTTGAGGAAACTGCAACCAGTGTTTCCTTCCAATATTTGTTAATGTTTAAGTATTCTTGAGAGGTTTGAGGTGTATAAGCCTGAGTGGGTGTAAGAATAAAAACCCATAAGGGTTTATGCTCTTAATGCTAATTTTAAATTTACAAAACAATAGCTGAAAATTTAAAATGTTTAAAATGGTAAGTTTTACTGCAGTTTATTGTGGTGTCAAATGTATCTGTGTGGGTTATAACCAGAGTCCCTTCCAAGGAAATGCAAATCAAAATGTAATATTAATCAGTAAATATGTACTAAGACGGCCACAACAATGACCTTTGTTGTCAGTTTGCTTATGAAAAGCATTTGCCCCCTTTGACTTCATGTTTTATAGTTTTTGAATCACAGATGTAATGAGGATTTTATTACATGGATCAACAGAAGAGAAATGTGTCTAATGTCAAAGTGACAAATCTCAACAGCTAAATTGTCACTTCCTGCTGCCGTTTGTCCTTGGAATTTGTAATATAAGCTAAATGGAGTTCCCTGTACAGCCACCACTGTCTTGGCAAGAGCTACATTGTGAAAACGAAGCAAGATTCCAAACAAAATCTTGCCAAATGTTCTTAAAACTACCAATTAGGGGGAGGATACAAGAAAAGTGCAGTTAGATCAGTTAGTGTGTAAATCTGCAAAGACCCACTGTTCTCAAAAAACAGACTTGTCTCTGTGAGAAGAACACTGGTAAAGCAAGATATTTTAGACACAAAGCACTGCAAGCTTCCATTCCTGAGATGGTAGACACTATGCATACAAATGCTGTTGCCCGGGTGCTTTACTACTCATAGCTTTATGGCAGAGAAGCTGTTCACACGCACGTGGCGTATTGTTTGTCAGAGGGTAAATGAAAACTGCGCAAAGGGGTGTTTATAAAAAGCAATGGGTGAGCATTGATGATTACAGAATCTAATAATATTTCAGTATTTTGAAATTAAGTTCTAGTCTAGACACTTTCAGTAAAATAAATTGAAGTTATTTAAGTATATGAAAGAAAATGACTTGATCAGTTAATAGACTGTAAAGCCTACAACTCAAATTGAGTCCCATTTAAGCATTTCCTCCTGTTCCTCATAGAATTTTATGTCGTGAAATTGATTCACACCCCATTTTATAGACACAGCTGTGCTTCTGATTTTTGACAGCTCTCTGCGCTCTGCATTATTGAAAATTGCACATTATTACAGCCAAGTAAAGCACAGACATCCATGCCCTGCTGTGGTTCCAAGAAGAGCCTTTTCCATTCATTTTTAACATCGAATCCAAATGAGATGGTCTCAAGAGTTTCACATTTGCTCAGCATGTGCGTGTGTGTGTGTGTGTGTGTGTGTGTAAGTAACTGTTGTCTAAAGAAGTGGCTTTTAAAATGGTAGCAAATTGTATAACATTCCCTCTTAGTTTTAGAGTGACAATGTGGAAACACTCAGAGCTAAAGATAAACTGTGAAAACTACTAATGGACCCGATTGTACATTACAGCTGCTCTCTTGCAGTCAAATTGTACAACCCTTTTTATTTTAGGAATATTTGCTAGTTCCATGCTGCTTACTCATTTTTGGAAAGGCTTGATTTACCAGATATTGACATTTCTCCAAATGTTGTCAGAGTTCTTCTATCTACTCATGTTCTGTGAAAGCAGTGTCATGAATACTGATCACATACAGTTTATTCTATAATTAAACCACTAAATAATAAATAATAAATAATGTAAACATACCATAGGCTGCTGTCACTCATTTCTTACTCTGACAGATTTTTATTTCACAGTGCTGTCTCATTCTGTTGTCTGCAGAGCGGGCTGCCATCCTTGACTGACACGTCCAAATCTACTGAGAATCTGTCCAAGGTGATGCTGCAAAATCCAGGGTGAGACTTATGCACACATAGTGTAACAGCTCTCTGCACTCCATATGACCCAAGCATATCTGAACCCACTCCACCTCAATCTCCAAAATATGCCTGCTTATGGAGCAACATTCATCAGACATGTAGACCAAATGAAAGCCATAAATCATGGCAGTGTTTCTGTGAGGAGAGGTGGGAACATGCAGAAAATCTATCTGAAGTGCTTCAAGCTGAGCCAGTGGAAATCACAGCAGGCATGTATCCTGCAACCTAGTGTCCCAAAACGGCCTCTAGTTCTGTAGGTAGTGAATTGCCTTGTGTCCCATTTCCAAAATCACTGCAGTGCACTTGAAGTTCAGCTCCCCAGAAAACTTCCAGGGTGTGCTTCAGTACACTTCTAACCAATCCTTTTCACATTAGGCCTCTCCCAATCTGCGATCTCTTCTGTATTTATGAAATGTCATCAGCCAAGTATCATCCCAATTCCAAGTCCGCTTTTATCCAAGTTCAGTCCAGATGCCTGGAGAGTTTCTTTCTCTGCTCATTTTATCAACGACTCTTTTGACAGTTGACTTGTGTGTGACTTGTTGACAGCAGACGAGTGTCCCAACATGTATTTAGTGGTAATGGCTGATGATATAATTTTTGTCCTAAACCTGTTATTGTGTCGCCAAATTAAGTGTTATGGCGAAAAATTAACTGTTTGAATATACGGTCAATGTATCTACCTGCAACATTTTTTGGAGGTATCAAACCTGCTAGGCAGGCAAAAATGACATCCCAGAAAGCCTTTCAGCAATTTACTAGTTGCACTGTCTCTGTAGTGTTGTAAACATAATGCTTTCCTGAACTTTGTCAAGATCTAAGATCTTGCCACGCTTCTAATAAAAAATATTAGAAAAATATAAAAGAAAAAGGTGCAGTAAATAGTGAAGATTACCTTTTAGTTTCATTGTAAAAACGGTATAGTGAGGATAAATGAAATGTCTGTTTTCACGGTCAATGCAGATAAAAGCTCTGTAAAATTGTATTGCCTACCAAACTCTGAGACATATTACGTTAATGTGAATGATCTTTATACTCTGCCACTGCCTTGGAACTGTGTGACAGCTCATTGATCTGTCAGTGTCCCAGTGTTCATCGAATTAGTGCCTAAAATCCAATTCACTCTCTAGTGATTCACCACCTACTGAAGTAGTGAGCAATTTGAGACACCCCCCCTGGTCTCTCATGATCTGATAACCCTGATGTTTTACAGCATGTGGAGCTGTCTGACATGTAATTTCCCTCACAGTGCAGTGCCCCCCCAAAATACCCGAGCTTCCAACTCAGGTGAATTATACTGGTTTCAGTCTGACACCTGCAACCCTGTTCCTGATCCGCTGCTCTGACACAGCTTAAAACAGTTAATACACGTGTATGTAGTGGATTACTACAAGGCGCGTCAAACACGTGCATGAAAGTGGAATTACAGAGTGGGTGTGAGATGCAGAAGAATGGAAGTCAGTAGGAGTCTGCTGCGGACGGAGACTCGGACAGCTTGATTTAAGTCTGTAGGTGTTAATGGCAGTCAGAAGTCAATACACAGAAGCGAATATGGCAGTACAGCCCACTGCAAAATACACTCTGATCATTTGATTCCTTTGTGGGTTTCAATTTTTACTGAACATGCACAATAAAATATTTAATGGTGCATTCGACAAATTTTTTTTCTTTCCCCTTTTTAACCACCTCTCACCTGGCAAGCTGAACCATCATCTGTTCCAGCACTGAAGACGGACAATGAGAGCAAGGTCGTTTTCATCTCTCATCCCTTAGATCTGTATTCCATCCTTGTTCTGCCTAGCATAAACTTGCTCGCAGCAAGGACAGGATTGATCTGTCAGTTTGTCCAATCATCTTGGAAATAACCCTCAGTGGTAAATAAGAGCAAATAATTTGAATTCAAACGGTGGCTGTGGATATCTGCTCAGTACTGGGAATGACACAAGATATCAATGAACTGACCTACAGTTGCTTGAGGGGGGGTGCTCCGCTGCAACAAAAAGCAGCCTGCTCGTTATCGGCTACATCAGTTGGATCACAGACTTTCTCACATGAGAGTTCAGACAGGAAGAGGCTAAGTGCTTTAACAAAAGAGTCTGACCTGCTTCTGCAGGAATGGGAACACTTTAGATGTTTGTATTTATCCTTATTTTTTGACTTCTTTTTTTTTCTTTTTTTAAATGCGATATCGCAGTGCATTTATGTCAGCTGAATGCAGATTTTCTCACCCAGTGTAGCTTTTAGTCTGAAAACACAAGATGGATATGTTTTGGGTTTGTCAGTTATTGCGGGGCCACATGCTTTTTTTTTTATTGTGTATGACTCAACTCCCACTTCTTACCTTCTAGTCAAAGTTCTCCCACTGTGCTTGGTTCACCCTTTATTAAATGGACTGCAGTGCCCGTATGTTGAAACCAACCTGGACTGCAGCTCTTTTAAAAGCAGCAAGTCTGGACTCTGAGAGCTCCCAGTGATGGAGCAGGCCAGCTGGTGTTTGACCCATGTGGCTTTTAATGGCCACCTTATCTCTGAAAGTCTGTCACCTGACACCCCTCTCAGTATCCTCCATCTCTGGCCAGAGAGCCAAGTGGTAACTTTACTATTTTCCTCCTCTGACCACTGACAGGCTGTTATTAGGAGCTTGAATCTCCTGAAATGGTGTTTTTACACAGGTTAACATCCTTCACTCTGGGAGCTCCTGTGGCACTTAATGTCTCCTGCCACTAGCTTTAGTGCAACTAGAACAGTCTTACCTGCACACCTAGACTTCCAGCTTTTCTTTTTAGTCAACATCCCAGGTTGCTCTTTCAAATATATGGGCTGGAGTTTCATATAACAGCCACAAAATTACCTGGAAATGTTTGAAAATATTGTATGAGATATAAGTATGAAAGGATGTAGGACTTCATGTATCATGTGTGTGGCATACTTCATAAAATCTGTGTGTGTCTGGTTGTGTGATGTGATGACTAGGAAGATGGAAGAGAAGCTCAACCAGCAGGAGGTGGAATGGCAGCAGGTCCAAGGAAGCCTGAACAGACGCAACCGGGACATCAAAAGACTTTCAAAGGAAAGCAGTGGGGCTCCCTATCAACCGAGAGCAGAAGAGAAGACAACAGGGGTAGAGATGGAAGAGCCTGGCAATGGGTAAGTTAGGAGGAGGCGAACTGTGCTCTCTGTGGTGATGTTAATGAATCTGTTGTTTGTGTAGCAGTTTTGTTCACTCATTCCGCAGCCAGAACAGTGTAAACCTCTGCATGTGAGCAACGAGTGTGACAGAAAGAAATGGTATCAAGAAAATTTGGTCAGCTTCTTAGACTGGGAATCCCAGATCAGTGTTCTTCCATTTATTCATGTGAGTAGACAAACATCGCTGAGTACAGGACATCCTCCGTACTGATCCTCAGGATGTGCAGAAATCCTTTAATCGTCACGAGGACCTGCACTGTGTTCCTCTTGTTGATGTTGTCAATGCTTTAGTGCTCCCGCTTTCCCCCCCTCGTCAACCTGCTGCTACACACAAAGCTCAGCCAAAGCCGCTGTTTACTGTCAGAAATCATTCTGAGCTGTATATTTGGTTTCTGCTCCCCCCTCTGGAGTGCTGAGTATTGTATGTAAATCCTCAAATCAACATGCACAGATTCTATTTAATTTCACAGCTAGTAGAGTGGCTCTAATCTCATCCAGCCATTTGGGCTGTTTGCTTTTCAAATCTAATGGATGGTTTTTGTGAAGAGGGGGGTTGGGGGTTATTGCAGTCTTGTCTTTTTCCTGCAAACAGTTTGAAGTCTCCAGTGTCACACCACAGCAAATAATTAAATTTGCCTTTGAAAACAAAGAGCCTGGCAGCATATAAGCATATAAACATAGCTGTGTTGTGCACAAGTTGTCTCATATCAATACACACTTATATGAAATATGAAAATAATTATTTCATCCCACTATCTTGACTGTCCTTTTTTAGCCAGATGTCTGCTGAGACAGTTGAGTCCAAAGTGCCAAGCAGTGTTACCACAGTACAGAAGCTCATGACTACAGTATGTATTCACTTTTTTTCTTTTAACAGTTACAACAAATCACACTCTTGATTATATCTAATAGGCTAATAAGGCTTTAATCATCAATAAGCCATGGGTAGTTTTATTAAAAATGACTCTTAATTGGGGTTTTTAAGACTTTGAATAAAGCTAAATCACTGTGAAAATAGTGACTTTTGTTTTGTTTATCGAGACATTATATTGCCACTGCAACTAAAGTACTAGTCCCTTTTGTCTTTACAAAACAGAACAAATGTCAATACCTACCCCAACCCCCCCCACTTCAGCCAGACCCAATACAGATTTTTATGAGGCATGAAATACTTTTTCCCTTGGCTTGTTGTGTTTGTTTATTATGCACATATTTAAACCCTATTACACTTTCCTGTAGGGGTTTCAAAGAAAATGACACTCATTTTGTGAAAGCATATTGCAATGAGAGCACCTTTTGAAATATCTCTGTTCATACATGTACCTTGTTATTCTTCACTCCATTTTCCTGTGCATGTATTTATGTATTCAAATATAATTGAATACATAAAATATGTTTTAAAGGGGGCTGGGTGATATGGTTATTCTAGTTCAGTTCTCAGCAGTAGCACTAATTATTTTGTAGTAAATTGCGTAAAACAAACAGGACTTTTGAATTACTTTTGTATAAATTCTTTCAGTTTTATTTCCCCTCATTGTTTTTCCTTTTCTCATCCACCTACACAATATAAACTAGGCCATGCCTGGAAAATATGCTGTCCCTCACTCTAGTTTTGATTTGGATGGAGACACTCTGCAGGGTAGGGTAAGCACCAGGGATGGCCAGGAGCAGGAGAGGGACTTGTGTCATAAATCAGGGCCAGGGCTCATGTCTGAGCGGCTGTGGAGGAAAGCTCAGAGCGGGGCTGCAGTTTCAAGTTATAAGGGAGAGGAGGTTTGGTCAGGGGATGCCAGCCTCCAGCAGACAAGTGTCCTGGGCCTGGGTGATGGATGTGGCACGAAGCCAGAGGGGAATGCTAACGAGATCCAAGGTGTCGTGGCTGACTGCTACAAGGGGAGACCCGACTCTGGTGGGAGCTCATTAGGCAGAATGTCCCACCTGCAGAGCAGTGGAGGAACTAACTCCGCGTCTGTCCTCCCACAGACCAACGCTCATTCTCAGCTCGACAGAAAGTCTCTCAGCAGTCAAGCGGCCTGCTCTCCACCTGAGGAAACTACCTTCGAGGGCCAGTTCAGCTGTGGAGAGATGGATGAATCTGGAGCTTTGGATGAGATCCCGGGAGTGGGCATAACAGAGACTGACGCAGTTCAAAACTCAGGGCTGGGCTCTTTGGTCAGCAGAGTTTCTTGGATTGTCCAGGATGCAGGACGTCTCCTTTGGAGCTCTCCCACAGTATTGCAGCAAGTCAGGGAAGAGGGACTACAGCCTGTTAGGGCCCGCTGGTCCAGTCATGTTGTCACTCTGGTCAGAGAAAGTAGTGTTCTGTCTGTAGTAAAGGACAGCCAGGTCTTGTCCATGGTTAAAGGGAGTTTTGTCTTCTCTCTGTTCAAAGATAGCCACATTTTTTCCATGGTGAAAGAATTACCTCTCATACAGCACATCCAGATGGAGATAACTCAAAACCTTCAGCCCGAGGAGGCAGCTAAGATGATTCAGGGCTGCATTAATCCAGATACCACACAACTGCCAGTCCTGACACCAACGCAACCCTTTAGCAAGGCAGAAGAATTACCAGAGGACGTGCCCCTAATTACAGAAGATGTCTGCATGAGGAAGAAGAGTATCACGGATCTCAGGTTACCACAAGAGCAAGACGTGGCTGATATTCAAGCAAAACAAGACGACAAACTGGTTACAGAGCAATTGCCAGTGAAACACAGCAGTGAGCCAGAGGTTGCCCATGGACCTGAAGACAAAGATCAGGCACTGGAGAACTCAAGGACTGTGCAGAAGAAAAAGGATTACCAAATCTTTTGTCAAACATTAATAACATTTCCAGAATCCCTTTTGAACCTGCAAACTCTGCCATTGATAGACTTGATGGACACTTTACAGTCTATCGTCCCCACCCCAGTTCTCACCTCCCAGAAGATTGTAGCTCTCTATTGGCTAAATGTTGCTAAATGTAGCCAACCTGAGCCTCGTCCTGCCCTCCTGATCCTGCTGGAGACTGGCCTCTACACCCTGACCGCTGACTCTGGATTCCTGGTTTTGTTCCATCACCTCCCTTTGTTACAGCTGCAGGAAGTGCAGATAACCTTAGCAGGCCATAGTGTACGTTTAATGGGCACTACAGAGGAGAGCATCCTGGGTGTTTATACCCACACCCAGAAGCTTACCAAAGAGCTGTGCTGGGCCATACTTGGTGTCATCTGCCCTGGGGACAACAGGGTGTCCCAGCATCCTCTCCTCCATGGAGACTTGATGAAGATGTCTTTAAACTGGGATACCTATGTACCTGACCTGTTGCTGGATGCTGGCTTAAAGGTTTGCTGCCAGTTTCAGAAGCGTCTTGCTGATCTAGTTTACCTTCTACATTGTAACATGGGTCAAAAAACAGTCGCTCTGGGAGACGTGCAGCTAGTACTTTACACAAGTGTAAGGGTGTGCATCAACGGCAGTTACCACACTGAGCCTCTGGCCCAGCTTTTACTTACTGATACCCACCTTGGCCTGGTGCAGGAGGATGCTGTCTTTCACCCGGCTGCACGCTCTGCCACCATAGCGCCCTGCCGTCTCCAATTCCACGGCTTAACTCTACGTCAGCTCTCAGATGTGCGCTGCGTGTTGGTGCATGATGAAGATGAGTGCGGAGCTGTCAGACTGGATGTAATCCTAGCAAATGTGAGGGGCAGGGGTCACCCTGAAAGCGTGACTAAGGCAGCTACCCCGCCTGCACATGCTTCAAATTCATCTCCGCATGCAGAAGTGTGGAAATTAACTTTCAGTTGCTCCTCTGAGGCCGCCTGCCTGATTAATCACTTGTCAAATGTCTGATCAAGGACTGAACAGCCAGTAATGAACAGCCCAGCTTGAAAACTCTCACTCACAAGGAGCAATGGCAAAAGTGCATCCCAACCAGACAGTGCAAAGGATAGCTTCACTGTTAACTGACTGAACTGAAAACTATGACCTATTTTGAAGTTTCCATGTTTTTGACATTTTAATATTGCAGCACTTGAAGATTTTATCTTTAAAACACTTGAATTTCTTTCTTTTCATTGTTATTGTTCTCTAACTACTACCTCTCATTATTATTTGTGTCAGACTGTCAGTTTAATGTGGGATGTTTTAAATAATTATGTTGAAGGTTAACAAAGAGGATTAGAAACATGTTTGTATCAGTTTCATGGGCAGTGTAATATTTTTAAAGAATTTTAGAGTATCAATGTGACCAAATTACCTCACTGTCAGGGTTACTTAAATTGTATATATGAATGTCAAGTTGATGCCAATTTAAAATATTTTATATAAAAAATAGATCTATTGAAATGTGTGAATAAGATAGTAAAAATAAAACGAAGGAATGTAAATCCACTCTTGCTCTGGAGTTGTTTATCACTTAGAATGCAAATAAGCTCCGATAGTTGAGCTTTTTAACTTGGGAAAACAAAGAATTCAGAGTCTGATGCATTTCACTGCTTTCTCTAATGTCTAATATTTTGTCTTCCTATCCTCTCCGTCAGGCTTTCTTTCTCTCTCTACCCTCCCCTCTGATGTTTTGGTATAGGCTACTTTTGTTTTTACTTGGTCTCTTCCTCACTGTCTAGGACTCTGCATGAATCTATATTCCACTCTTACCATCTGGAAACACATCTTGGTATCTGAGGTCAAGGTGAACCTCCTCTCCACAGTTATTTTATCCCTGCCAGTCAACACTGTCCACTCCAGGACAAGACTTGTCCATTGCATGAGAACTGCTATAAAATTTTGGATAAGTTGATCCTGCTGCTTTTCTGAGAAAACTCAAGACTGATTCACATCTCAAGAGTTGGAGCCAAAGACTGTCTGCTCCTTTTCTTGACTCTGACCCCGTCCAGCAGGGAAAATTGCAGGGGCAATATAGTGCAATCAGTCCTCTTGTCTGCTCCAGCATGAATGATGGAGATTTGGCCTCGAATGAAGAAACCCATCACACCTTTTGTAGCAGTGAGGTTTGAGGCAGGATGAAAGCTCATGGATGTGAAAGGGTTGTTTTTCTTCTCCTTTGCTTGGGATAGTTAATTAGCATTCAAACCATCTCCTGTGTATAGTTCCTGCCTGTGAAAGAAACACAAAAGGCAGACAAATCATAACCTGATATACTGAAGTGAGGCTAGTTTAATATAAAATGCAAAAGGAGACTGTCCTTCTGCAGATAAGGCCATAAATAGTGCCAGTACTTGGAAACGCACGGTACATCAGCCTCTTCTATGCAGCGTCATTGAGAAGTATCCGTGATTGATCGAGCCATGCCATATTGAATGTGGAATGGTGAGTTTGTTCCTTCCGGAGGCATTTGGCTAGCATCTCAATAACCTTTCTGGTACCATATATGACACCGTCAATGTGTTGTTGGGGTAAACAACAATTTGGGAATGTAAATTGAAAAAGTTGTGAGTAATATTTAATGCTACAAGTGAATTACTTCTCAGGTTGTAAATCAAAGTTAGGGAATTTATTTTCTCCTCTGCTATATGAGTTCACTGACTGGTTTGTGTCAGAAATAGACATGAGCTGTTGTTGGGCTCGGCTTATGCTCACTCTCAGACAGCAGATACCCATACCCACTGGCAGGCTCTGAATCTCTAATCATTACTCTGTGTGATTTCCCACTGGGTTCTCCGGCCCTAATACGCACAGTCATTGACAGCACGTAACAGGATAATTTGTTTACCTCCTCCTTTGGAAGCATGCGTACGTGACCTAGTCAGCTCTGCAATTGCTTAGCTGTTGATGGGCTAAACCTTTTTTTTTTTTTTTTTTTTTTTTTTTTTTACGTCGATCTTAATCATTCTGCCTGCCCCGTAGTAGTCACAAAAATTCAATGATTCACTTACATGTTTTCTTCAGAGGTTTTGAAGGCAAATCCACGACCCACTGCGTAGGTATAAATTGGTCCTGACAATGTTTATATTAGGTTTTATAATTAAATCAGTTTGGACTGGCGAACTTAAAAACTACCACTTTAGTTTCTTTTGCCTGGAGAGCCAGTTTCCTGGTTACAAATTAGACTTTGCTATAGAATAAAAAACATCTTGTTAAGCCAAGAACTAATCTTTCAAAGAAGCTGGCTTCCCAATTTAACCTGGTATTAATACAGGGCCTTTTGGAAAAGAGGCCAGCAGATCAGCAAGGAACATTTATAATGCTGGTGCTGAGTTTGCCCTATATTGCAAAGACAGACCTGTGTATGGATAAAAGCAATTTGTAAAACTATGGACCTAAATACTGTCGTGCAAATGTTGGCTGTAATTTTAAAATGACCTTTTCAGTTTGAACCAACAATTTATAACGTAAATTAACAAACCCCTTCACACTGTATTTGAAACTTTGAAGTTTGTGTTCATCAGTAAATTTGTTGTTACTGCACATATTCTTTATACTGTTGTACATTTACATGTCCTCATTTCTTCTTTTTTACTTTCTTCCTTGTTACACTCAGCATTAGTTAGTAATTATGCAAAATGGTGCTGCTAGATTGAAATTTGACATACACTATGTACATTTTGTAGTTTTTGAGTAGGCCTTTTGCAGAATAAACACCTCAACACTAAAGAATGGAGTGCAGCCTGTAAGCTAGTGCACTGTGATACTGACATGACATATTCTGCAAGCTGCAAACATCATTTGTAATTGGGTGGTGTATTTGAGCCACTTTTCTCACCCAGCCATGCTGGCTGCTGTCATATCTGCAAACTCTGCAGAAACTACTAAAATCTCCTGCTGCTATTAGCATGCTTGGCTGCCAACAGCCCAATCATGTTTTGGAGGAGAGATTTGTGTCAATGCTACCTGCCCAACAGCTGCTCCAGGTGTTATGTCTGCCATTCGTTGAATCACCTTCAAGCCACAAATGCACTTCGGAAGCAGAATTTTTGTGATGTGTGACCACAGCTGTATTTCTTTTTTTTTTTTTCTCTGCTGTAATGCCGGCGGACCACCGCATCACTTCAGCAACCCTAGTTCTTGCTGCTTGTGCTAACATGTTTATTCTTGGCTCTGTGGTGCTGGTGTGCTTGAGCAATGACTTTTATCAGCAAGCTTGAGGTGCTTGTAGCCAGATATTTCAATGCTAATGTTCTTCACAGTGTTAATGAGCTTCTTTTGTTACTTTAGCACCTTCTGGTATGAATGAGGAAAGTTATTTTCTCAGTAACATTTCACAGCATGGTACTGCATCTTTATGGTGATATTTAAATGTTTTTCAACTGAGGTCTCTGAGGATATGATTTTAGGTTGACTTAAGAGATGTAAACATTGTCTTTTACATGATTACTTTGCTGTACTGGCCGCATTATGAAGTCATCATGGTTTTTGTCACACTCACGATAGGAAATTATATTTTCTCCACATACCACAATTACATCTAAACTGCTGAGCTACTGTTCTATGGTCTGTGCTCCAATTACCAAATTAAATTAATATATGTCCATTTTTGTTTTTGATATATGTAAGTACCTACTGGGTAGCACTTTGAAGACTACAACATGTTATGGGGACAATCATAGTGAATAATAATCCACACAGTATGCTTTCTGATGCACTATATCAACAGTAATATTATAGATGTGACTCATAATGAATTAGAAGTCCAAGGGTCTTATGGATGGACCTGACTATATGAACTAGAGGTTTGCTAATGGGGCTTATAATACATTATTACCTATACTTATATACACCTCCAACAATTGTAGTAAGGACATGGTATGCTATGTAATAGTAAGTAATATAGTAATAGTACATGCAGTGTCATAAGTAATCATTGTATGTGTGAAGTAAAGTGTAGTATGTGATTGTATGTAAGTATTCTGCTTCGTCATAATGGTTTTTAGAACTCCCTAACTCATTGCCGTCATCTCATAGTGAAAATAAAGATTGAATAAATGTCTTTTTTTGTCTTTCTCTTACTTTGAATATATCATTTTCATAATTGTATATGTTAAGGTTCTATCCCCAGAGCCGATAAATACACAAATTTAACATGGATTGTTTTTAAATGCATGAAAATGCATTACACTTACCACCAACAATGAAATGTTATGATGAAGCATGCATTATAATAAATGCATCAATATTACTTCACTTTACTTAACACATACAATGGCAACTTAAAATGACTACATGGACTGTTATAGCATAGTATGATAGTGGAATAAATGGCCAAAAATACAGTCCTATAAAAGGATAGTATATGTTAGTATTTGTCAAAGATACATACAGTATGCAGAATATTATAGGCTGGATCTTTGACAGATTTTATTTTTATATGATATATACAGATCTGGATACGGATCCATAAACTTGTTTATCATTGCATCTTTCTGGATACAGGTCCTCCTTGTCCGTCAGTTGTGAGAGTCCTTAGTACAGTTGATTAGTTGTGTATATGTCATGTGAGTTTAGGCCCAGTCAACCTCTAACTAGTCAAGAGCATCCATGTTAACTGGAAGTCATAATTCATGATAGGTCACATCTAGAATGTTTTATTACTGTTGATACAGTGCATCAGAAAGCATGTTTGTACATGAGTGTTGTCATAAAGCAATATGAATGCAGTATAATTTACTATGAATGCCCTCATAATGCACTGTAGATGTCATCTTCATAGAGAAATATCTGCCCTGCATATCAGGTAGATTGTTGCATTAATGTGGTTTTGGTGCAGAAGTTACAGTCGTCATTCCGCAATCCCTGCTGTGCTGAATGTGGTGTTTTTAGTGTGAGGAGTGTGAAAGGTCAGAGCATAGATCAACTCCATTGATATTCACCCAATCACAGTCACAGTCAATTCACATCTTTACACATCTGTCCTACGTCACTTGGTCACTAACATCACATTTGCAGGGCACCCTTCAGTTTTGGTATACATTGTTTAATAAACTTATTTGGATATATCTGAAACTTTAAAGTAGTGACTGAAACAATGGTGCTAATTATTAAAGAGTGCAACAATGTGCAGGTGTGTTGTGAAGCAGTAGGGCCTCTGGATGTGTTCATTAGTACATGAAAGCCAAAGTCACATCAGTACTCTCTTTTTGAAGGCTTTATGTCAAGGTCACTTTTAAATTCCAACTGAATGGAGGTATTTTAAGTGTCCAGTATGTGCATCCCCACTGTTTTAAAATAATTTCACTCAAAAGCAGCAGAACGTAATTAACTTCATCACTATATTCCCAACTAATGACGGCCAGCGTTTGCCAGGAATGGCAGGTTTTACCCAGGCCTCTGATGGAACGTGTTGGGGGTGAGTCTCAATGGAGACGGACACAATGGCGACCTGAATGTCACTGGCATCTTTGAGCGGCGCTCATT